AAATTTGCCTTTACGTCATACTTGTAGTCCATCCTCTGATTAATGTTTACTGGCCTTTTTGCTGTCTGGCACAGACAAGGAGACATTCTTGTAAATCATCAGGTGCATATTCTTATCTTGTACTTCTGTATCTCATCCTCTTTCCAGTTTTTCACATTCAGTAGTACTTTTTTCAAGTTTTCTTTAAGGTGTTTTGAAGTTATCTTGCTTTGAAGTCTCTCATATCCTTACAAGAAATTTGGTGACTGATTTAATCCTATTTCCTTCTGTCACTGAGGATGCTGAATGCAGTCACTGTCAGGAATGGTCCATAAGCAACTCTGTTGCTGATTTTGTTTCAGTCTGATAATTGGGATCAAAAGTATTAGAAGCCATGGTCTTGATGGCCTTTTCATCAGAATCTGGGCAGCAAAGATTGGAACGTAAATCTGGTATCACATAAAGCTATAGCATGAGTGCATGGTAATTTTGATATAGTTTTTTACATGCACCTATAACTGATACCACCATGGGATGTATAGATAGCTTGCAGCTATTATCTATTAGTGTCTGTACTGGGTTTGTGTTTAACATGAGAGTTGGAATGATCAATTGCTTTTACTGTAGTTAGTTACACACCAGCTTCATCCAGCTTTGGCCCTTGTAATTAAGGAGCTGTACATATCTTTGTAACTGCTTTTCAGTTTTCCTTATGTCCTTACTGTTTAAAAAGAAATGCAATTGCAGAGGACAAAGGGGAGTTAATCACAGTACCATTTGCTTGTTAGTTCATGTTCAATGTTCTCTGTCCTTCCGCGGCTGAATTGTTCTCTACTGGCAGTGGAGCATGTTAATGCTTTCTTTATTTACTCTTCTGATATACAGCGGGTCTCATGAAATTATACTGCAGTAAATGAAAGAAAATGTGAATGTAGTCATACTTGAATATGTGTACTCAAATACTTTGATTTAGCTATTGATAATTTGTGGCTAGTATTGCTCATCAACTGCACAGAATATGTTTAAGTAGGAGAGTTGTATCCTTCCAAGATTTGAAGACAAGACTTTAGCAGTAATATTATTGAAATTGTGATGGTGAGAATCTGTTACTCCCATTTCATGAGTCCAAATACATGGATGTATTCAGAATTCCCAGTCTGAATAGCAGTTGATTTTGTGTACTTGTCCCTATTCTTCTGAAAGTATACTGAAGAGGTGAATCTAAGATTTAGGCTTTAAACTTTCCTTAATTAAAAAAAAACCAAAAAAACCCAAAAACAAAAACACTATGGGAAAATATTTTATAAATGGGATTTTATTCTTTTGAATTTTTTTATAGTGGGATGTGTTAATTCTAGAATTAACAACAATTAATTGTTAATTATCCATAGCACCTTTGTCTCCAATTTGTTGTTTGTCAGCATCTAATTTATAATGACTACTGATTCCAGCCTGCTTACTTTCAGGAATGCAGTCTAAAAATGCCAGCTAGAACATGATGAATGAGTGAAAAGCTAAAGGCAAGATGTGGCTTCGATGGCCGTTAGATACCATTTGAAGAATATTGACTTCAAAAGCATTGACCATTGCCACCTTTTACACTGTAAGAGTAAACAGGGCAAGCAGACACTTGTCTGTGGCCACAGTGTGCTTGGCATTATGGTCAGCAGTGTGCAGTGGTTTAGTCCAGACGAAGTTATTTCCTTAGCATGTGTCTGCAGCTCGTGGCTTAAGCATGACTGATCCTTTTCCTAGAGGAGGGTTCAGCTGTCACCTTTCTCTTTTGGTTCCTGGGATTCTTGGAGTCCCATAGTACCTTAACCTGGAAGAAAGTCTTTCACTGGTCATTTAAGGGGAGTTCTGTGATGAACTCCGGTATCCAACTTTCCTTTGTTGTATGGGCTAGGTGACTGGTGACATTATCCTAATTTAAAAAGGCTCCTAATTCAAGTCCTGAGTTTTCTTCCATCATCTCCTATATTCCTCCTGCATTGCAGCTGTGGCTGTGCAGGAGGCTGTATCTAGCAAACTGAACTGTGTTTTAGGAGGGGAGGGTGGAGGAGAGGAGGAACAGCAGAGGAGAGAAACGCATTCCATTACGGAGCATGAAGAGTATGGAAGACTGCTCATTTATAAAAGTTGTCCTCCACCCTCAGGCAGCTGTTATACTTCTGTGCATTGCCGTGCAGTGTTTGAACATCTTGGGAAGCCACAGATGTTTCACTTTGATTCATATACTGAGGCAGATTTGATCCTTATTCCTAATGCCAGAGTCTTCTGGCTAAGACTACCCTGACGCAAGCCATGCTCCCAGCTCCCACTTCATTAAGGAGCAACATTCCTGGTACATGTCAGGTCTGGCACTTGGTCCTCAGCTGTTTTATGACCACTTCCTGTGTTTCTAGCTGGAGGTTTGGTCTTGGCTGTGGAGATGAGATTTACTTGGAATTATGACAACTTTCTGTGAACTTGAAGTAATTCCTGACACAGATGTTTTAGAGAGAGAAATGCACCTTTGTATTCTGTGGCTTCAAAAAGTATTACATTAAGAAAAACAAGGATAGCATTAACATAGCACAGTTCAGATCAGCTGTTCTTAATATGTTCCACAACCCAGTATGAAAACAATTTGTGTGACTAGATGATAATACGTTTAGATAATGTATCTGTAGTCTGATAGTCTGAGGGCATCCTCTCCATTATTCTTATGCTTGGTCTAATACTGTGAATGTGTTTGCAGAGAGTAACTTTCACTGTTTCCATCATATAAAAACTAGTAGAAAAGTAGCCAGTTCTATGCGAAGAAACATGGAGTTGAAATGGGTTTGGCTGGAACCTAACAGCTGTTTGATCCATATCCAGCTGTAGGGCCAGATGTGCCTTCCTCCGTCATGTAGCGGTGGTGAGAAACAGCCTGGAGAACCAGCCTGGTGTGTCAGGGGCCTGGGGTCATTCAAAGATGATCTGCAATGAATCGGGTGGTGGAGGGGCTGTATGTCTCCCTTCTCCCATGATACCTCTTTCTGCTTTGCTTTAAACTTCTTCAACCTGCTCCTATTCTTTTCAGTCTTTTGATGTTCTTTGTTACTTTTCTCTGAGTTGAGCTTATTCTGTCTTAAAATCTTCCCCTTGGAATAAAGTTTTAATTACTGAGCAGATGTGTCATCTTCATTCTGCCTGCTCTAACTGCCTTTATCTCTCTCCTTCATCTTGAATCTTAGACTCCTTAGCTCATTAAGTCCTGTGGAGCTAGAACTTTTTGCTAGTTAGACACTAAAAAAAATAAAATATTCTTATCAGATCTTGCTGCAGTTCTGTAAACAAGCTACTTAATCATGCTTTTATGTTAATGCCAAAGAAACAAATAAAAATGGTTTGCGCTGTGATTACAAACAAATGAATACAAAACTGCAGTCTAAATATCGAGCTACTTTTCCTTCCTTTGTTTTGGGTTTTTTTTTTTCCTCCATAATGCTCTCTGAAAGAAGATTTAACTCTAGAGAAATGAAAGTTAATAATTTATGGAAGAAAATAAAGTAAAAGAGAAATTGATGTTGCCTGAAATCCTTCATGGGCTGAAGCTAGAGAAGAGACAGAAGCCAAAGTGTAACTGCGCAGGAATGTGCTTAGATATAAAACCTAGGATGTAACTGTGGGAATGCCTTTAGATACAAAAACTGGAATGCAACTATGTGTTAGTGAAATCTGCAAAAAGCTGGGAATGTCATGCTCAATGTTTGAGAACTGCAGGCAATTGGCAGTGTTTTTCAGAACGATTCTTGTAAAAACTGCTTTTCCTGAGTTTGGTGCCTGATCCAGTCTTTTTTTTTTTTTCTTGGCTTGAACTCATGTGAACTAGAACAGAATTAGCAAGAGACATTAAAGCTGTGGTTCTGTGTACTCTCTCCTTAGTGGTAAAGCTGGCTTAAGAAATTCTGGCTCCAAATAATGCTTCCCTGCCTGTCTCACTTTTTCCAGGAAGAGTGTTTTGTGGGGGTGAAATATGAAATTTATCTGATCCAATTTTCCAAAAAGCATTAGAGAAAACTTCCTATTACTTCTTTTTTCCAAGGTGGAATACTACTGGTAAACAGTGTGGCTCTGTGAACAGTTATGCTGGAATGACTGAAAGAATGAGGCACCCTGTGATGGGAGCAAGGGATGGGAATACAGCTGTTCCTGCCAACTTCTGTGTAATGTGAAATCCCAGCCCTGTTGAACAGACTTCTGTAGTGTAGCATTCGCTGCCAGAAATTAATATATTCAAGCTCTCAAGACAATAGCCTGATGAAATTGCAGTGTTCATGAACTCTCTGAACAAAGTGCCATCCTTTCTCAGTCTTCTATTTTTTCAGGTAGCAATAAGCAGGAAGGAGGTGTCAAAGCAAACATCAGTTCTCTAGCGAAAAAAAGTTATGCTTTAGAAATGCTTCAGGAAAGCAACTTTTACTGGCAAGTAAAATTTGACTGGCCTGAAAGTTGCAACCAGTCTAGACTAGAGGCAAATGATATAAACAAGTGTGCCATCTGAACTTACTGCTATGTCAGTTGTCTCATGGCAAATGCTTTATTTTTCATCACCTCATTACAAGGTCATTCATTAAATAGCTGCAGGTTTGCAGCTTTGAGCCAGGAGAGTCCCCAGAATAATTACTTCAGAAATTTCATTCAGACTTTTAGTTTCTTTCCTTTGTTACTACCTTCAAAACATATAGGCTATTGGCGATACAAGAATAGAGGAAATCTATTTGTGTGACAAACATTAGGATTAATACAATTTCATCTCAAATCTTTGATACTAAGCTATATATTTTATCAGTGATGTAGTTGTTCTCCTTTGTACTGTCGCATTTTCTGCAATTCTTGTGGTTCTCTAAAATCTGTGCTGTTTTATAGTTGAAATTTAAGTGAAACTGTGATGGCAATAAATGGGTTAAATTAATGTCTCCCTACCCCTTCCCCCCAGTCCCAGAGTATTTTTGTATAAAGTTTTACAGGAAAACATTTTTTAACCATTCAGGGCAGCTTTAGAAGAAGTAGAAGGAGATGTGACAGAACTGGAACTGAAACTTGACAAGGTAAGTTTTTTAATTCAACAATGGCTGTTCTAAAAAATATCAAAAGATGTGTTTAGGTTTTGTTTTAAAGTTCACAGCTGGGAAGAAGCAGCAGCTGACCAAGTGTTCTGCTCTTGCAGAGGAAACTGATCTGGGTTGAGTGCACAGCTGGGCCTCACAGACTCAAGCTTGAGCAACAGCAGGCGCAGCAGTGTGAACTCGCTTTCTGCCCCAGCTGAGGGCTTGGATTGTGCAATGCCCTCCTGCCCCTATGGCCCCCTCGCACTCATGTGACCCAGCCCCACACTGGGAGCTGCATCAAACTAGTTCAGCTTTCATGTGAGTTAAAAGCCAGGGCTTGGCTATCCCTGTGTTGAGAGGTTCTGTTCTATGACAACAGCATACTGTGACGACATCTGGATACTCTTTGTTTTAGAGTTTTAAAGTTAATGCTTTCTGTCTTCGGTAGTCTGTGGCACAGTCACAGCAGGATAGGTATGTGTGTATATATATATTCTTCACTTCTGTCTGGAGGACTTAACTACCATAAAATTAATCCTGCTTTTTGTCATGCTTCGTGCATGTGTGTAAAAAGTGACATGTAGCATCTTTTCAGTGCCTTACCATCCGTTTATTGGTTTCCTAACCAGTAGTATTTGCAGGCTTTTGTTCTTTGCCAGTATTTTGAGGGTGACTTATTTTTGTTTTACATCTGTTCTAGCATTTTATGTTAAATGTTTAAAATTATTTTTTGCCTGTGTTTTAATGTGGTAGATAGATGTCATTTGTTCACCTCCTTAGCTACTTTTTTGAATTCGAACTTTTGTTCCTGCAGCTGTGAATTGGTTGCTGAAAGAGACAAATAAAGTCAGTGTCAAGTGCAGTGTTAATCTGAAGACTTTTTGTTACTACTTGTAATAATATTTCTAGCTTTTCTAGTTAATAATGTAACCATTTGCTCATTCAAAATAAATTTAAGATACTTAATTTTGATGTGGTGTGAATTTTGGTGAAACTGGGTATAAGACACATTTTTACTGTGGGGTGATGAATCTGTTTTGGTAGATTAAACCATGTAAGTATTTAAAGGATCTGAAAAATCTATTTTGGAAGTTTATATTTTCCACCAGTCTAAAAGGGTCACTTTTTTGGGAAAAGAATTTTTAAATTCCTTAAGGGGCACTTTTCAGGGCCTTGCCCCCAGCCTCTTTCAGGGGGCCAGTGCCAAATACACCATTCTATCGTGTAAAAGCTGTAATTGTAATATTACTCTTTGCCTTGAGACAGTGTGCTAGTACTCTTTAAAACAAAAACACTTTTGCTCCCCTGACAAGAAAGCAAGTCCACAAGGTAAATATTTAAGTAGTTTAGCTGTAGTGTGAAGTATAAGTGATCTAGTGTAACGTTTAAGTTGAAAGCCAAGCTTCTTGTGTGAGCTCAAGTAATTATGGCCTGAGGGTAATGATTTGCCTAGACTTGGTTGGTAACTTATTCTGCTCACTTATTCATACTAAACTTAGTTTTATTGTCCACAGTTGTGACTTTGGGCTACATTATCTGTATTTTTTTCCCCTCTGGAAGAAAGGCCACTGGGTTCAGGATTGTGAGCCATAAGCAAAGGTGAAGGCAAGAAAGGATCATGTTCGTAGTGATTTTTCTGTCCATTGTTCAAGCAACTTAGCCATTTGTCAGAATGTGGGAGATGATGCTCAGATTTTCTCTTTCCCAAAGAGGATCTGAACCAACATAAAAATTACTGTGGTAAATAAGGCAGGAAGGTCACTTGGTTAGGATCCAGTACTTCTATATTGTTCTTCATGAAAATTTGTCTAACATATTTGAAAAATCCTTCAGAGATGAAGGTTCAATCTTCTGATTTTATTCTCAGTTTAGTGTACGGTGGGGGAACTCGATGGGCCTTCTCTCAAGAGAGCATCTTAGCGATTGCACTAATCATTCTTAATTTCATTAATATCCCAGTGCATAAATGGTTCAAAAAGTGGGAAAACATCCGTCACAAGATACTGATGGCCTTCATATCAGTTTCTGCAGTACCATGGTGGCTAAGGTGCTGATCTAAGCAGTGAGTGGTAGGGATGAAAACCCATCAGAGAAAGTTGTATGAATGAAAACATGATTCATTTCGCCTTCTGAGATGTAACTGTCTCGCTTCAGTTTTGCTTTGTGCAGATAGCCTTTTGCTTTCCTGTGCCTGTATTTACAATGTCTCAAGATGAAACAACTGGTGTGCGTTTCTGGGGTTTTTTTGGCTTGGAAACCACAAAACACTTACTTCGCTTGGGTTCTAACCAGTTACGTTTTATTTGCTGCACTTTTTGTCCTTATACAGCCCTCTGTCTTGAAATATGTGTAAAATGTCAGCTAACATAAAACAAAAAAATAATTTAAAAAAACATGTATAAAGAGTAATAACCTTCTCAGTGGGATATCAGTGGTATTTTTATAGCTATCGCTATATACAACAGAAAGCCTTTCATAGAATGTGGTGCTCTAAGTTTCAAATTAAACTTTTGAATTCTTTGTTTCATAGATTTAACTAAGCTCAGTATGTTTCAGGTTTATGTGGTGGTGTAAAAAAACAAACAAACAAAAAAACAAAAAACTTCCACTTTATCATTTTTTCTTCTTTTTAGCTGGTGAAGCTTTGTATTGCAATGATTGATACTGGGAAAGCATTCTGTACTGCCAACAAGCAGTTCATGAATGGAATTCGAGACCTTGCACAATATTCCTGTAAAGATGCATTAGTTGAGGTAAGTTCTTTAAGAGATAAAAATGGAAGGAGAAACGTCTAACTTAAAAAGGGTAAAATATAACTATTGGTAAGACAAGCAGTTGAAGTTTATACTATTATTTGCCTTTTTGGTCCTTTTTCTTTGAGATGTCTTAAGAGTGAGCTTTTTTGACTGTGGTGTGCTGCAAGTGTCTGTGCTGTTTAGTTTCAGCTTTAACCTGCAATGGCAAGGGTTTTCCAAATTCTGGAAAATACGTATTAGGTTAGGAATAGTCATCTTGGGAGGAGTGGAGAAAGCCAGGTTGAAACTGTGAGCAGCTGCCCTGTTTACTTTGCTAAATAAAGGGCTTCTAGTCATGAGATCCTAAGAGCCAGTTCTCTGCAACTCTCTTGCAATCTCTGCAAATTGAGGGAACTCAATTCCCTGAGTTGATCTCTTGGATCCTGGAACTGGCACTCTTTAATATACAGAAATTTAAATTCTTGAATGTACAGACCCCACTTTGGTGTAACCTCAGACTGGTGTCTTGTTAGGCTAATTTGGAACACATAATATTTCCTGTCTATGTTACTTTGAAATGAGATATGAAATTGTGTAATATGCAGGTACAACTATGTGCACATTTCTGTATATCATCTATACTTAATGCATGTTATGTAGTAGAACATCAACTGCATGTATGCATCTTCATACACTAGTTGAAATAGATAATGCCTGTGAACTTCAGTGTAGTCTGTGTGCAACTGAAACTGTTCCTGTCTGGAAATTTGCCTGCTAGAAATGTAGTGCGATGGCAAAATAGTAAAACTTAAATTATTTGGTTCCAAGTAGGTTTTTGTTACATTTGTTGTATAAGCAATAAGCAGTTTATCCGGATATATTGGGGAATCATTGTTTTCCAACTGCGTTTGAGACATTGATTCTACATATCGATGTCAATGTTGCTAAGCATATCAGCTGTGAGGCAGTAGTTCCTACAGTTAATTTGTGTGTACTGATGATTACAACATGTTAACCAGGTTTTTGGAGTTAATAAATATTAACTAGTGTAATATTAAATATTGTAAATTAATGTGTTAAATTATGTGAACTTCCCATTGTTTAGTTAACTTAATTTGAATTTTTCCTGCTTTGCTTCAGTTGGTCCTTTATATATAGGTTGGTAGCAGTAACATTTTTGTTGCTTGTACCTTTAATAGATATACTTGATAGAACCTCCATGTTCTCCTTCTAGCATAATGGTTTTAGTTTAATAAGCATGCTAAGGAAAATCAATTCCCAAGTTCTTTACTGAAAAGCTGTGAGTAAACCTCTGAAACATTGCTTTTGTGCTATTTGGTAGGGCTTAACTTAAACCACTTTGTTTTTCTCTTTACAGACCAGCTTGACAAAGTTCTCTGACACCTTACAGGAAATGATCAATTATCACAATGTAAGTTCTTCTAGCTGAAACATGACACTGATAGTTTACCTCCAGTTATATTTGATAACAGAATAATGCTAAAGCTTTTCTTGTTGATAGTATTTGCAAAGTTATGACTTAAGTGGTATTAAATACTTCTTATTTTATACTTGTAAATGTTTTATTTTTATTTTGCTTATGAAGTATTTATAAATATCCCCTTTTCTGCAGATTTTTATCTCACTACTTTTTTTTTTGTTCGGCATTTTTAAGGTTTGCTAAAACCCAGGGCTGTAAGACAGAATAAATACTGTATTGTTTCATCATTTTTAAATCAAACTGATGGGCAGCAGTGACAAACTAAGAGCATATTTCTTTGCTGGACTGAAATAATTACTACCTTTTCCATATTTTCTACTCCTCTCTTTTTTTTGCCCATCCTTTATAATGCACAAAATGAAGCATCTCTGATTTGTGTGTAGCTTTCTTTTTGCAAGTATGACAGATTTAGACAAGTGTAGAGAAAGGAGAAAATGCTAGGATTTAAGACTAATAGTGACTTTTTTTTTAGCATGTCGGGCTTTATCAGAAAGGTCAGTTTTGCCTGGATTAAAAATTGATTTTTTTCTTTCTCCTCTAAAGAGATTAGTCTTGTATCCTGAAAGCCAAAGGGCTGTACTCGTTCTTCTATTTTTTTCCTCTTCCCTTGGCCCCTACTGCTTCTTTCATTTTCCAGAAAATCAATGGAAAGCAACTGAAGTGTCTCCAAAGTGCTGAAAATATGCAGCACACTTGAAATTTATTTTGTTTTATATCACTGGGAGTTTAAAATGTAATGAGATGCAGAGAATGCAGTTCAAGCAGCTTCAGCTGAAATTAAGTTTAAGCATTAACTTAGCTTCCTAAAACTGTCTTTATTAGGCATTTTTTTGAAAATGCATGTTTAGAAGGGAAGGGAAACAAAGGGAAACAGGTTAATACTGTTGAGTTGGATTTCCTTTCAATTATGAGGTGTACATACCTACATCTAATATAATGACAACTGTAAAGAGGGGAGTAAGTGGACAGTGACACTTTAGTAGAGTGAAGCTAGTGCAGCGATTCCAAGCAGGACTAGTGGGAGAAAGTGTTACTTTCAGGTCAGTGATTTCTGCAGATCAGATTGAGCAGATGAATCCAGTTGGCTGTTTCTATTTTACACTCTTCATGACGCTTCTTGTTGCTGATTACCCTCTTAACCATGTCTTTGCTATATGGTATGCTCTTTGACACGTCTGTCCTAGGCCCTATAGTCTTGCTGCCGTTACTGTTCTACGTGATTGTGGCTTGCAATGCTTTGGTAAAATACGGCACAGCACAACTCTCCGTTTAGGGCAGTTTGAAGGCAGAAAGCAAAGAACAAGCCATATTAAAAAGATTTCTTTGCAGATCTAAGTAGGACCACTCTGAGTTCTGTCCTACTTTTTTTCCCCTCCACTTCCTCACTGTGCTCAAGCATAGTGATTAGAACAGTGGCTTTTACCAAAAGGCACAAACATAAGAAATGAGGCATGTTACGGGGTTCTGATGTAGAGCTTTGCTAGACATATTGTGATCCTGCATTGCTTTTCGGGAGTCTGCATAGTTCAGCACGACTTAGTAGCTCAAAGTGTCAGCTCTGTTGTTGACCAAGTTGGCAGGAGAGCCATCATGAGTGAGAAGGAACTAGAGGAAGAAAAAGAAGAGGCAGGCATCCTCCAGAGGAAGGAGGGAAGGTGTACGAGATGGTCCCACTGAGATCTGGATGATTGTCAGTTTTCTCAGAAGAGACTTTGCTACAAAGAAGGCTAGGAACCAGACTAATGCAGCATCTTCACTGATTCAGCAGTGGGGAGTAGCTTTGACAGCTTACGGCAAATAGCATCTTGCTTAGACTTGGTTTGGTGTGTGTGAAAGGTAATGTGTTGGAAAGGCTGTAAATCAGATCATGGTCTGAGCACTTTTTTCTGTTCTTTTAGAGAAAAAAATGTGTATGTATTTTTCTGCCTAGCACTTTTTTCCTCTTCATTACTGTAAGCAGAATTGCAAGGCTCATATTTCTGGGAGTCCACTCATCAGTTGAGTTCCCATCTGGTTATACTTTTTCTGTATTGATCTTGATTAGTTCACTCCTCAGGCACTGGCAAGCTTAAATGTCAGCAGTGGGAGTAGTCCCAGCATGACTTCCAGCTTGTCAAGAAGTTCTTTATCTGTTCTAGTTGTCCGTTTTTCCGGTTTCTCAAAGTGGGAATACAAACAGGATCTTCCATGTGTCACTGTTAGATATAGGACAATTCAGGTTGGAAAGGGCCTCAGGAGGTTTCTGGTTCAACTCTCTGCTTAAATCAGGGTCAGATCTGAGGTTGGAGCGGGTTGGTTAGGGTTTTATCCCACTTGGTCTTGAAAATTTCTAAAAATGGAGACTGGGTGGAGGATATAATACCACTGCTAATGGGTGGCTTAAACTGAATCATGTTTTCCTTCCTTCATTGCTTTTAGAAAAGAGAAACAAGCTGGTAAGGGTTTTGCTGTCAGTACTTGGTGTTGCATGGCTTTTCATTCCCAAATTTTGTGAATAAGGAAACAAAGTCTGAGAATGTTTAAAGAAAACATTGCTTGACCTGAAACTTTGAGTTCTTGACTTGCTTTTTCAATAAAATTATTTAACACGTAACGATCTTTACCTTTTGGAAGAGATTCTGTTCGTTTAGACCAACTACTACTTCCTTACATTCTTTCACCTCTTTATTCTTTGTGATCGTGCCTTGTATATTTCCGTAATGCAGAATGGGAGGTGTAGAGGAGCTGGAAATTAAGCATCATTTGTGGTCTGCATGGTAAGTGGCAAAAGGATTTGTCCCTTTAGCCATTGACCTATTCCACTCTGTCCTAAAACTCAGAGGGCAGATGTGAAGCTGAAGGAATGTGCGTTTTCATTCCTCAGTTAGAATTTCTGGGGTCATATGAGAAAATGTAAGCTGTCTAACATTCAGGTATGCTTTGGCCTTGGAAATGTAACAAATTTCTCAAGCTTTACAATTTGAATGAGTAGATTATATTCTTCCCGCCTTGCCCCCCCCCCCCCCCCCCCCAATCATAAGAAATTTGAGAAGCATGGCTTAGAACACTTAATCTTAGGAAAAAGAAACAGCCATTCTTCTTAGCAGTTCAACAGTGGATGTTTTTTCACAAATATATTATGTAAAGGAAATGGTACTAATTACTGATGTATGTTATGTTTTCAGCATTAATTTCAGCCTGTGGTTTTCTGCCAGAAGTTAAGGGCATGTTCTTTCTCTGGTTTCATTTGTCTTGTAGTTGTTGCTTAAATTGTGAAAGTCTGTAAGAATCAAAAGAAGTTGTTACTTAAAGTTCACAGTTGTTTCTTCAAAGCTATTTGTGCAGTAATATTCTTGACTGTTTAATAATCATAATATACATGTTCTCTGAAAGTGGGCATGTCTTACATTGTCAGGATGAGAGAATAAGTTGCCAGGAGCTCTTGTCTCTAACCACAGTCTTTAACAAAATGTGTTGGGTTTGTATTTTATTCCTTATTTATTTTTTTTTTATTTCAAAATTACTTTGAAGGGTTTTATATTTTTATATTAGAGACACATTGGTTTAATATAATTCTCATCTAATTCTGCTTAATAACCATGTGTATGTCTAAAATGAAAAGTTAGGAGTACCCCTAAGTTATTGACCTACATAATCATGCTTTTCTTTCAGATCCTGTTTGACCAAACCCAAAGATCAATTAAAGCACAGCTTCAGTCTTTTGTTAAAGAGTAAGTTATTTTTTTCCTCAGAAGAAAAGGCAGAGAAGTTTCTATCATATTTTGTATGATTTCCATTTGATCCAAGCATTTATCAAAGAATATGAAAACAAAGAAACTAGCTATGACAGTCACGAGCATGGTCTATCTATATTATCTTTAAACACTTCTTTCATTTGTTAATTTTTGGAATTAATTTGTTATCAATCTTCCCTTTTTCTTTAGAGATATTAGGAAATTTAAAGATGCAAAAAAACAGTTTGAAAAAGTCAGTGAAGAAAAAGAGAATGCTTTAGTAAAAAATGCCCAAGTTCAAAGAAATAAGCAACACGAAGTAGAGGAAGCAACCAATATTTTAACTGCAACACGGAAATGTTTTCGACACATAGCTCTGGATTATGTTCTTCAGGTAAGTGCAGCAATAAAAGTTATTTTTCAAAACCATGTTACATACAGTTAAAGATCTGTCCTTTAGAAATTCATATTGTAAGCTTCTCAGAAGCTGTGGAGATTCAGTGAAAAAGGAATAACTTTGCAAGTAATTAAATTTTAAAATGAAATCTGAGCAAAATTAATTTACTACTTTTTGCTTAATTCTTCATTATTCAATGCTGTTGCTGTAATGATACAGTGTAATTTTCAACTTGAACATCAATTTTGAAAAGACAGTATTTGCCTGATACTTAGCTAAATGTATTTTGTGAGGTGGCTATGCTGTAGTTCCTTACATATATTTGAAGTAAAAACTGTAACCTAGCCTTGGAAATACAAATTACCTGAATAATTCTGATATAGGATATTGGATACTACTACAATTCAGCTGTTTGCTTTGGGTTTTATTTAACAAATCCTACTTGTCTAGAAGCCTTGGTGTTTGCCATTGTGCCATAGGGGAAATCAAGAACATAACTACTCTTTTGCTTTTCAGTGCAGATCTCCTATAGTGTTTAGAGGTGTTCTTTGTCCTGCTACTTTGAATCCTGTGGAATAATAATAAATTTTCTGTCAATACTTAGAGTCCATCTGTTTCATAGTTACCCACAACTACAGCAAAACAGGATTATTGCAACTTGGATGGTATGAGGGGTTGGGGGCTCCTAAATGGGTCTGGGGTTCTCTTATGATCAAACGCAGAACAACCCTTCAAAATTATGTTAGTTTTATGTTAGACATTATCACCTTGATTTGTGACAGTCCAGTCAGTTATTTAAAGCTTAGTTAACTGTTCTTTAAATTGCATTTATTACCTGTAAAGTGAAGTGGAATTGATCTGATCAGCCCGGGCACGTGCACAGATATGGGGGTCAGTGGTCAACACTGAACTCCTGCCTTTTGAACACTAGGGACAAAATTCATTTTGATGTTCAAAAAGCCATGTGAATTATGTACCACTTGATTATTTGTTCTGACATTAAATAGTAGGGGGGCAGGGAAGCTCACAGTCATTACTATAGGCCAGTTCCCTGTGTGTGCACTGAACTGCAGATTGTTTGCCTCCTGGAATTAGTCTGTTCAAAGTATGAGCAGTTCCTGTGATAAAGATGGATTGGAAGTAGCAGAGGAATGCTTTTCAGCATCTCTTAATTAATGCAGGCAAAAATTAATTCAGCTTTGGGAATTCTTTCCACTTGGGTGACTCTTCTGGAAAAGTAGCTTCACAACTATGGTCTCTTTGTATCTATTTTGTCTTTAAACTGTCTTTAAACTTTCAAAGCCTTTGCTTTGGTCGTCTTTGCCTTGCAAGTTGAGGCAAAACATACAAACAAATCTTAATTTTGCTGCAGAAGGTTTTCTGAAATACTATTTACGTATAGAAATACAATCTGGTTTTGATTATAGCTTCAGTAAATTTATTTCTTTGCTGGAATTTTGAACTGCTGTAGAGGTGTTAAATTACAAAATCATGCATGTTTCTGCTAAATAGGGCTTCTAAAGTAAAAACCATAGTTCTGGATGACAATCTTGAAGCTTAGGTGACAAAGAGGATAGAGAAACTAGGTGAATGCAAAAAATAAATTATTTTTTTCTATATTGTGGAATTCTTCACGTTTTAGGTGGTCTTTACTGACCGCCATTGGTCAGTGACTTCAGCTAGCTTAGAAGTGCAAGTATACAAGCACATATATATGAAAAGTTACCTGTTGAAGCTATTATCATCCTGCTTGTTTCAGAGGCTGGGGCTATATCCCAGTTTTGGGACACTTTAGACAATGTCAGCCCAAGGGAAAAAATAAACATGCCCCCAGTCCCTTCCTCTCCCCTGGCAAGAGATGGCAGTGGTGCGGGTGGGCTGGGTTAGCTCATACTGTCAGAAAGGGTGTTGGAAATATGTTGAAATCAATCTCTTGAAGATAAGTACCAATTTTCCTTGCTTGAGAGGTGTATTGTATTACTTCTAGCTAGCATGTGATGTCTTATATTCTTCCTTCTAATATAAGAAAGTTGTGACTATCACTGTGATATTCTAGCTTCACAAGCATTTTCTGATTGCATCTCTGTAATATCATGACAAAAGCTAGCATGCATCTTCTTTTAAACAAGTGCTTTGTGAAGTCTGATATTGAGTTATGTTCTTCCAATGTTTTAAGCTTTGGTATGATTATTTGGAAGTAATTTGAAGTTTACCTCTGTGGGGAAAATTTGCAAGTAGAATAAAATAAGTTGCTTGTTTGTTTCTTTTCTAGATCAATGTTCTTCAGTCTAAAAGGAGAGCAGAAATCTTAAAATCGGTAAGATATACTTTTTCTGCATAGAAAATATGTAAATATACCTGAAATTAAAAATGTGACTGCAGAGCATTATATTAAAATTTTAGTCCTTTTACCCATCAAAACTTTACCAGCACATTTGGCACTTTGGTGACAGTCAGTTTGGCCTTTACTGTAACTGGGCATAGATGCTTAACTGTTTTTGGAAATCCTTTTGGTGCAGATTTGAATACTTTAAGGTTTTCACTGCTGTTGACTCTGGTATGTGTTTCATGGTTAAAATCGAACTTTGACAAGAATCCTGCTCTCTAGGTTTGCTATACTCATTTATAAACAATAAGTACTACTTATAATCTATTCTAAGATGGATTCAGGTCTTTCTACAAAAATTGTATTTTTTAATGTAAATAGAACATTGTAATAGCAAATATACAATATGCTTTACTGTGGTATCTGCTAAATTAATATACAGCTATATCTGCATGCTAGTGTTCTGATTGTATTCCCTTTCCTGCTTCATATTATCTCTGTAAAATCTTTACTGAGATGGAGATTGCCAAATTAAATGGTGCTTTTCTTTCAAAGGTCTAAAGTTGCACTCCCATAATTTCCTTAATTCCTTTAAATAGCAAAAACTTCAGTTGCATCACAGCTTTATAGCTGCTTGCCATTCTGCTCTGCATCTTCACAACTTGTTTTCTTTTTTAAGATTGGACAGTCTTCTCACTGTGTTCATAAAGGCTATGGTTTCAGATCATTAGTAAATATATTCTGTAGCTCCTCTCTATTTTGCATGTCCTAGTTAAACAGGAGATAACAAAAGTTTCAGGTGACATGAATCAGAAGTAATTTTCTGCCCTTAAGTAAATTTGTTTTGTTAATGGGGCTAATCCTATTAACTAACTTCTGAGATTTTTGGCTTGTTCTTTGCTGCTTTTACCTTAGGTGTTTATTTACAACATTGGAAGCTCTATGAGAGACTGATGTAAAACTGCCAGGACAAAAGAGAGCAGAAATTAACACTGGAATTATATTTTGTTCATGTGGATTAGTTAAGTGATATATTTATGTGATATCTGATAAATATTTATCCTTTTTTAAAAAAAATATACTTTTTTCCTTCTAGATGTTGTCATTTATGTATGCCCATCTGGCTTTTTTCCATCAAGGCTATGATCTTTTCAGTGAACTTGAGCCCTACATGAAAGATCTTGGTGCACAGGTAACAAATTACTTTAGAAGTTCATAACTATATGCTGGAATGGATGAACATTTGATATATGCGTACATATAGTACATCATAGATTTATTCAACAAAAAGGGAACTGTAGTGTGATAAAGGCAAAGCGTAAAAATACACTAAGTGGTTTGAATGAAGATAGCTAGAAACTGAGTGTTGTCTGTTTACTAAAATTGCTACCTGTAGGATTTGCATACTTAAACATAGCCGTATAGAGCTGCTTGAGGTACTCTGTGGTATTCAGGACACCGGATTATTTTCTTTTAAAAATTTTTGTATATGACTCATGTTATACATATATTTAACAACAAAAAGTATATTAGGTTGTTTCCTTCTACTTGTATACATTATTTAATGTACAAATTATGCAGTGTGCCAAAAATAAAATTGATGATAGCAACTTAGACTGTAAAACAGAAGTCTAATTTTAATAAGTAGTGCAAAACTGAGTCATATATTGAATCCTTTTGTTGTTTAAGAACACAGAATTGCACCTTCTGGGTTTTCAGTGAGGGACTCATGAAAAGGTTAGGTGGACCACAGCCAACCGCACACTGGAGATGCTGAAAATGGTTATGTGAAATAGATTAAGAACATGCAGTATTCAACTGAAGAGCTGTCTGTGGTGCAGGAAGAAGACTCAGCAGTGTCTTGACTTGTTTCAGTGCAAGTTGAATGGGCCTGGAAATACTTGTACAACACTGGGGTGTTTTGGTTTTTTGTTTGCCTCTATCCAAGGACTTGCATCAACTGCACTGATACAAAACCCTCTGTTGCCGCTTCCCAACCTGATCCATGAAACAAAGCCAGCACAACAGTCTAAGTGTCTATCCAGGTACAAAAGCAAATAAATGACAGCAAATATTTATTTGCATTCATCTCGAATAGATGTGTCATTGAATGTCTAAGAAATGACATTGTTCTGAGCTGGTTATTCCTCCCACAGCGCTGTTGTCATCTGTGCCCCTCAACCTGTTTCTGTGTCTGTGCAGTGAAGCAGATTGGGAATGGTAGGAAGTAACTCCCAACAATCAAATGTCTAAGTAGTTATTTTTCTGCAGGACTAGTCCCCAGTCAGGTTACTGTGGATCTTAATTACTCGTACAACCATACGCATGGGAGGTGTGTGTTTGTGTCTCTGCATGTGTGTGGCAAGCAAGTGATGGAGCTGAGGAGAGAGGCTGCTGGGGCTGGCACTGCCATCAAGAAGGGAAGCGACTGTATGGCTACAGCCCTGTGTGTTTCGGTGTAATAGCAGCACTTAGGTGCACATGACTCTGTCCTTAGTTGTGCCTTTTATTCTTTCACATAATTCTGTTTTGGGTTGCAATTGTTGAGCTGTAGTATTTTGATAGTATAGAATGTATGTCCTGTACCTCTGCAGAAGAGGGTATGGGGAAGGGAGTTGATAGTAGCTTATGCTACTAACTAGGCTTTAGTGTTTCCATTTCATTGAGATTATTTGAGCAAGGAACACCAGGTTATTTTTGAATGGCTGGTCATCCTTTTGCTTGAGCTGGTAAGGAGCATTGTGTAACATTCATTTTGGTGCTGGTATCATAGCAACTGAAGGAGTTAAATTTAGAAAATCTGAAGCTGAGAATGTTTAAAATACATTGCAGTTAGAGCAAAAATAGACTGAAGACCCTAAAGTTGAAGAACCTGCTGAATTGTTCTTTTGTGGCAGACCTTGGCATTTAAGTAATGGATATTTTTCATGACAGAATCAGACTTGTAAATAGCTTATGAAAGTTTAACAGTTAATGGCTTTGCAGTTGGTATTGGTTGAAGCTTCTGCCTTTATCAGGTCAGAGAGAAGGCATGTTGTGACATAACAAAACGGGACTTTGCTAGATTTTTTTCTGAAAATAATGTGAGATTCTTTCTGTTGGTAAGTGAGTTTTCATTCCCAAGTAAATTTTGTGTATGATCTTAATTAAAAGATTTAACAGCACCTGAAGTATTAAAATTGTAACTATACTGTTTAAGATCAGTTCAATTTTTAGTTCTCTTGTTTCACATTTTGAAAATAACTGGTTTACATGATGGAATAGGATGGAGCAATTTTGCTTTCTGGATATTTTATATCAGGGTAGGATTACTTGTGAATCGAATCATTGTAGGAGAATCTGCAATGGCACACAAGTGTAATATAAGCTTTTGCATGGAAGTTATGGTATTTGGCACTTTTCATGTGAAATATGGTACTAGTTTAAAAAAAAAAAACTACTTGAGTTTTCATTCCGAGATGACTATTCAAAAAGCTAAACATTTTAGTCTGACTTAGCCCTCTAGATAATACCACTTTATAGCATATGTTTATAAAAATGCATTTACCAGTAAATGCGGTATTTTGGAAAAAAACTAATTTTTGGAAGACTACTCTGTAGTGGTATAATACCTAGGATTTTGATAGTTTAGTTGTGTGATTGACCACAGCTCTTGATAGCCATATGCTGTTGGTCTTTTTTGTTTAAGACAGTTGATGTGCTTGCTGCTCACCTGCCTGAAAAGAAGAAATTCTGGTCTGAGCTTGGAAACTGGAATGATGCAATGCTGTCTTGATAGTGAAAAAGAAAATGATGAAATGAGCTGCTGTTAAGAACTTTGTTTTGGTACTTATGTTGTGGTAAATGTATCCTCAGACATTTGTATTTAGGATAAATTGTAGGTAATTGCCCTAATTGGAACGTGGCTACTTTCTGTTTCATCTAGCAGGGTAGGAAGAAGAATTTCTTGGGGCCCACGTGCAGATTCCTGAAAGAAACATGATTCCTGTAAAGTCTTGAACAGCCCTTGGATCAGTTCTCATCTTTACCATGAAAGAACAGGTTTCCCAGGGTTCTTGGTGCAAAACAGCCTTGGAGCACAATGTCAGCCCAGTCTCTGTTTTAGAGGCTCTTCTATAATTTTTAAGTCGTATAACTCCATAAATATGATGGACACTTCTGTCTTTAATGTGTTCACGTTCACAAATACCTGTAAGGTGTGACAGTGCTGGTATAGCCATTTGAGCCAGAGAAGAAGCCAGGGAGAGGAGAGTTAAGAAAGTAACAGAGTATGGAATTGGATCCAGATGTTCCAAATATCTGATGGCTTCTTAATTGTTGGAGACTGGTCTAGCACAAGAGTGTAAGAGCCAGTTATTGTCCTTGTTTTCCTCTTGTTTATATCATTTCAAGCAGGAGGAAATACGACACTGGGGAAAATGCCCAGAGTTGGCAGGGGTTCTCACTTGTGGTTATGAGAGTGGATGGAGACAATCTTATTTGTGTGTATTAGAGGTTCTGCTAGTCATACTGTGCCCTCTGCCATGCGACTGACTTCAGCTGGAAAACTGATGTTGCACACTGATCCTGGTCTCTTCCTTCTAGGCCTGGAGTAGAATGAGGTCAGTCCCACAGATGTAAAACTGCAGGCTGTAGCGCTGTGTTCAGTGTTGCATCTGCATTGTTACTCAGTAAGGTGCTGTGACTGGGGTTAATGGCAGTCTTGTATTACAAGGCTGGATAAAGGAGTTCATCAGGTTCCATAGTGTGTCACACAAATACACAGCTAACTGGACTTTCAGGCAGCATCTGCTCCTCTACTTCACCATATTTCTTATTTAGGCATCAGTCTGTTTAAAAAAAAAAAAAGCCACCAAAAAAACCCCAATAACCCACTTTAGTCTTTACAGGATATCTTAAATTTCCTGCCTTTTTTCCCTTCTTGTTTTAAAAGGAAAAATTTTGTATGGTAGTGCTATAGACATGCTTGCAGCCAGTTTTTGGTAGGGTCTTCTTTATTATCATAGACTTTGTAAGGATGCTAACTTAAATCCTCTCTGTTGTGATAGTCTCTTTTCTTTGCAAAAATCATATTGTAGTTATTTCTGAAACTAGAAACAGTTTGAATGGTTCTCCCTAAGATTTCAAGGAATCTTGCTCACATACTGCTGGTGACATGATCAAAACTATCAATACAAAAGCCTGGTTGAGGCAGTTCCCCCGCTTTGTGGAGGAGAAAAATCAGTAGCACTCGCTCCTTCTAGTTTTTGCTGCTACTGCCAGTGCTGCTGCATAGGCCAGTCAGCCAGCAAGAGCAGCTAAAGCATGAGTCATTCTCTTCGGAGACTAAGCACCAATGCGGTATAGAGTCGCATATGCTTGGCACCATGCTGTTCTTTGAAACGTTTCTTCTAAGGCTTACAGGAAATGTACACCTTTCATAGAGGTTAATTCAGGATGGTAGTGCAGTGCTTTAAGCGGGGCTTCAGTAGTTATTAAAGGTAAACACTTTGTGACCAGAGAAGTAATTATACTATGCAAGTAAAACAAAAGTCATGCAATGTCTAGACATAACGTGTTCTTTTTTGTCAGTATTATGAAATCTACTGAGCCAAATTTCTCTTGATATCTAAAGATCCAATTTTCTGTTTCTCTTTACAGCTGGATCAGTTGGCTGTAGATGCTGCAAAGGAGAAGAGAGATATGGAGCAAAAGCACTCCACTATTCAACAAAAGGTACTTGAGAGAATGTAAAAGGTGGACTGCACACACATGTTTGGATCTCTAGCATCTCTCCCCAGCAGTACACCTCTGCATTGGAACTGTGAGGGATGGTGTCTTTAGCGCAGAGAAACAGACTTGCACATCATTAAGCGTAGGGTTGGATTGCAGATATTAATTTTGTATTGCACAGTAGAATGTTATGTTTAGTTTTGACTGAACATAAATAGGACAATAGAATTTATTTGAATGCTGGGACTCTAACATTTCATAAGAACTCTTAATTCCTATTACATCTTTGATTCAATATAGTTGTAAAAGTCGCTATCTTTCCTGTGTGTCTGTAGAAGAGGTGTATATACTGCACAGTCATATGTATCACTTTCTGGACTGTGCCAAATACGAGTGCAGCACCTTGAGGTAGTGTGGCAGCTGCTACTGCATAGAAAGAGCAAAAGTAAACTTTTGTAAAGGTTATCTAATGTATGGTGTTCAACTATACACAAATCTGAAAGTGATAAATTGCTGTTTTGGGAAGATTTGTATGTGCGATAATTCTTATTTTTGCCTGTTGAGCAAAATGTAAATAATTCATGTTGTAGAAGGAATGACTTCTGTTTGGGTGTTTCAGAAGCTCTAGATCAGTATTGGTTTTGTAGGTATAATGATAGAAGTTAAAAATATTTCCACTGACAGACAGCGAACTAATACTGCAGGTACTTTTGAAAGGGATTAGATACCAATTTAAAGGTAATGCAAGACTTCTTACTGTCATTCAAATACATTCTGTATCTGTTCAGGTGGCATAAATTAAAAAAAAAAAGCCTAATGTAAGTTAAATCTGAGTAAATAAATTCAGGAATGAAAACATGCGAAGGTCATAATTTAGGTAGCCTTAGTGTAGGAGTCTAATATTAATACTAATGTAAAAAGATAACATTTTTGGCTGATGAAAATGTTTTTGTCACTTCATCCTGTCATTCCTACAGGGGTTGGTGGGAAGCATTAGGATTGCTGTAAGTGTGAAATGGAGCAGACATGATGATGATTTTAGGGCAGTGCTGATATGCTGTGTTTGGAGGCAGACAGGAGATAACTACAGGGAAGGAAGGGGGAAAAAAGAGGGAAAATGGAAAGAGGAGGGAACTTCAGAATTAACATTGATGTTCAAGTTTTAATTTGGGCTCAATAGGCCTAATTTCAGGAGTGGGCAGTAGTTGAGGATTTTACTGTTAACGAACAGCAGTGGTTGGTGAAGGATCTAAGTTGTGGGCAATTATATTTTAATTGCCTGTAGAAATAATAACTTTCTACCATGAATTATGGTCTTTGCTCTTGCCAATAGTGTTTACAGTCTTTGTTTTTTCTTCAAATGCTGCTTAAGGCTGCTTTACAGGTAAACTATTTCTAATAGTATCAACGGTTATTGAAACTTTTAAGCTTCATGAAACCTGATAAGCTCTATCTGTGTGTAATAAAAATGTTCTTGGTTTCTAGTACAAATGGTAATCATAATGAGGTTATTTATATATTGTTCCTTTTTCTAATTGAATGACAATTTTACACTGTCTCTAAAATATAATCAGGGCAGTCAGATTGTATTGTATGTTGTCCTCTAAAGTTCTGCGTTTTAAGTTGTATATATGGTCTGCTGTCTGTATCAGTGAAGTTCTTGATGCATTTTTGTGATGATAGTGCCTAGATTAATGCGTCTAGGCTTTGGAGTGCATGCTTTAATGGAGATTCTTCTTACAGCTTGTCAAATAATTTTCTTGGTTTCTTACTCAAATCGTGCTGTCTTTTGTCTCCTCCTACTTGCTTTTCCCAACCTTCCCACCAAGTCTGCTTCCAGATAGTCAGGATTTCAGAATCTTGAACTGCCTTAGACCTTGGATCTTGTTCTCTATATCATTATTTGTTATCTGGTCAACCTGACCAAGATGGCAGCCTTGTTCTCTGTTCTCTTCTCATGGCTTGTCATGTTGCTTTCCACTGGGCTGCCTCTTAGGCATATGTTCCCAAATCTTCCAGTGCCAAATCCTTCCTTGTTTTATAACTAATGAAACTTCTGCTTCTTGTGTTGAATATTCTATGAGATATATATGCGTTTAATACACAGAAGTTTTAATCTAATGCTTCAGAATGATGCCTTTTCTTCATTGTGTGGATAAAGAACAGTTCCTTTTCTGAAATGAATAGGTAAGTGCACATGTGCACACACCTACCCACCCACTACGTGTCTTTGCATATATGTGCATATGCATGCAGAATAATTGCACTAATTAAATAACTCATCTCACTTTCCTTATAATCATCATCCTATTTAATTAGGCTGTTGTCTGAGAGGCTAATATAAAAGTCATGGAAGAGCTTGGTTACCACTACAGTTTGATTTCTCTTTTAAGAGAACTGATGTCTAATTTTTGTTTGTTTTAACTTCTGTGTTCTTTTTACTCAGCAAATATGCAGGAAACAGTTTTTTTTTTTACTGTCAGAATTTTTTTTCCATATTAATCTGGAGCAACACATGCTATGAATTAATATAGAAAAGTTGTTATCATTCTGGGAACTTTTTGTAGATTCATATCAAAAGAGTTGTCATAGTGGCAGTACCACTTAAGAGTTGTAAGTCTTGTTTTCTGAGCAGTTTGCAGCCCGTTCTAGTAGTAACGTGTTGAATTAAAAAATTTAAATATTGGTTGGACTTGTAAACAGTATTATGGCTTCTTGGTTTTGTGACAGAGCGAATATTTTATTCTAAAATGGGGGAAATGATACAGGAAAAACATTTGCATTGAACTTCAAATAATTTTTGTTGCATTCAAATCCCTTTTTCATTTAAAAGAAAAAATTGCATCTGAAGAACTGCTTAGGAAACAGCTGGAGTGAGAATGATTTGAAAATTTTTGACAACTTGTGTAAACAAGGTGATAGGAAACGAGATACTACCACAGTCATAAAGCAGGCATAAACCAGAGCTGCTGTTGAGAAGTGATGCAGACTAATTCCTGTCTCAAACAAAGATGTGCCAGTATTTCACATGACATGGAGGCTCAATGACTATCTTGCCTTCTTTCACTTTGTCTTTGACTGTAAACCTTGTTACTTGTGACTGTTGATGTTTTAAGCCCTTCCTCAAGGGACTTTCAACTGAAGCATGACAAACATTTTTTGCCAATGGGATGGAATGGGAATGGAAGCAACTTTCAAAATGGGGAGTTGCACAATTAATGTCTTCTGTTTAGTATATGCTGGAGTAACTTTTCAGATTAGTGTTTTTCTTGGTACTTATGCTCCCCCACTTACTGCCTCTTTTAAAAACTTTAAAAATTCTGCTCCTCTGAAGTAAAAAACATATTTAATACATATTCATTGTTAAAATGCTGATACTCACACTCCCTAAGATTTACTGATAAAATAGCTTGAACAGCTTTAATGACCTGCTAGCAATCTTCATATTGAAAGTAAATTGAAAACTCTGCTGCTGAAAAATATGGTGTTTGTTTGGTTAACAAGAAAATTTTATGTAGAGAAACAGGAAACATGCAAGTTATGAAACGAATCTAGTATGTGTGATACATTTTAATACGAACTCACCAATTTATTCACTGAAACACTGTCAAGAATAGTAAGTATTTTGTGACCCACTAGATTAGTATTAATTGTGGAAATTGAAGTTGTTTTTCCATTGTCAGCTGGTTTTCTATCCCTCATGGACATTTGAAGAAAAAGAGGCAAAAAAAAAAAAAGAAGGCATGAAAGCACACTGCATGCTTAACATATAAAACCCACTTCTACATGTTTCTCTTCCAGTAGCTGGCCAACCTTGAAAAATGTGTATCAGAACAGAAGCCATAGATGTTCCTGTCTTCAAATCTGGATGAAATGTGCAATATAGCACTTCAGTGTAACTTTCATAATACTGGCTTAATCTTCTTAGTTCTGTTTAGGTTAAATGTAGTTTAGTCCTAACTGACACCTAATTAGCAAATAAATTATGTTTAAAATTCAGTCTTTACCAGTTGCATGTTTGCTTAAGGAATACAAAATTTTGAATCACATTGTGATTTGGTTTATTAACATGTGATTCTCTTATGCACGACACTGGAAAGATACGGATTTCTCTCCACCCCCTGATTATTTTTTGTGATTCACTAAACTTTTCCATGAGCCAAGATAAAAATAAACTATAATGTGACTGCTTTTCTCCTATTCTTTAATTATAAAATAACAGAGACTGTAAGATCAGACACAGTTTATCTAGTTCCTTTTTCTACTTTTATCCTTTTAATTGAAATGAAGTGTGTGGGGTTTTGTTTATCTTTTTCCTGACCACAAATTTATCTATGAAGTTTTATGGATAAAGCATGTGGAAGCTTTACTTCCTTACCCCCCAGTTGGTAGTCAATAGTTAGGAAAATATTTAACATTTGTCTGTACACTCTTGTGTCTTTATCTGTTCTATAAAGGTGGAAGACAATCAGGAAAGCCATTAAAAATGACACTAAATGCACTTCATGAGGAAGACTCAGTATTTTAGACAATTTGGACTGAGAGTGTAGCATGATAAATGATCCAAAGGAGTTTTCCTGTCATGCTTGTATATGTCTTCAAAGAGTAAATCTAGATCTATTGGAAAAGACAGCTGCTTTTTCTGCAGCAGTTCTCCAAACCTGGAGGAAAATGTGATTACATAGTAGTTTGCACAGAAAAGACTGAGGGATTGTATGTTGTCTTTAACTAGACAAGGAGTTGCAGCCATCACTGAGGCAGAAGGATGCAAATCTTTAGCAGGTTTCATTATGTTTGGGAGCTGGTAAGTTAGAGTAATAATATCAGGTTTTTGGGGCGGGTGGGAATGTGACATTAGTAAGTCTGTGTTTAAAGGGGTTTTCTCATTTTTTTTTCTGGAGGGGACAAGAAAAAAAACAAAAAGGACTTCTAACACTTTGAGAATGTGAAAGTTAAAATTGTACTGTGATATTTGGCTGTTTGTGCTTACATGAAGCCTTTGATGTTCAGCATGTTTTGGTCTAGAAGACAGGCAGAAAATCAAAATTATTAAATGATGAATAATGCATGAATTTGTGATTTTTGAGAAGCTTTTATTTGCAACCTGTATGTTTATTCAGATGAGTATATGGTAGTGATACGACAGTTCCATTTTCTTTTGGCATTCTTTCTTTTGCACTGATCTTCTGCCAGTGAATTAATAAAAATCTAGATTTAACATTTCAAATTTAGTTAGTTATTCAGATTGACTGAAAACACTGAGTAATCTTATGGAACTTGGTGCTGTGCTGGCCTGGGAGTATAAAGTGCCCATTTTGATATTTGTAACCACTTCACTGTCTTGTTTGTTTAACCTTGAATTGGACCAAATGATCTGCATGTATAAGAGTAAACATTGTGTGTAGCAGAAAAGTTGTATGCAGGCTGGAATATTACATAGGGCTAATGGTATTGGTTTTGAAGCAGATTTTTTATATATAGCCTCCTTTCCCCTATGTATAGAGAAATTCCTAAAGAGCAAAGTACAAAACAGATTTACTGACACACTTTTCACACAAAGCTGATGTTTGCAATTTATAAAAAGTACCTGCTGAAGGTATAGGGGAGCGATATTCTGAAATGTCCTGCGTCTTCAGTATTTAGCCTGGGTTTCTATGTTCTGAAACGTAATTTTCAGTGATGTGTCTCTTCTTCCCTGCTTAAGGGGAGCAAGCCATATGTTGTGTCTACTTTAATTTAACTCACTATTTTACTAACAGTGAAATTAAATAATAGTATATATGTTATTTTGATCTCTGGACATAGCTTATGATAAATTATGTCATTCTGTGTGTGCTTTTGCATGCACCCCTAGTAGCAGTTAGCCTCCCACTCACTGAATACCTGAGCTCTGTAGCTCCCTGGGAAGAGTCCATGGTGTTTCAGATGAGATATGAAAGCAAATGATCACCATATGTATTACTACTTAGTCTGCTTTACCTTTGCTGAAGATATGAAGCAGTTAACCTTTCTAAAACTTGTAACACCGTTACTAGCCGTTACTATTTGTTATTAATTTGATTAAAATGTAGGTTCCCTTGTCCTACTTCTAGCTTCATATTCTTGTCAAAGATCATAAAGAAAAAATTACTGCTAAGTTCTTGTCATCATTGCCAGCACACCTTGACTGCTTTAAATTAGAGATAACTGATAGTATCATCTTTATTTGGTTACTTGTCTTCAAAGTTCTGATCAGGCTCACTTGTCAAGATGACAGAGCTGAAGAAAATGCTGAAGCACGACTGGCTTTATACAGTTGTCTGCAACAGGCTGCAATTGCTTTTCAGTTTTGACTCCTAACTCCCATTGCCCCTTTTCCTCTACCTTACTCTCCCTTTTTCTTTGGAATATACGTGAGACCATTTGAGCAGACAGTTGAAGCATCAGATGCTCTGTCAGTCATGTTTATCCTCTACTTGGCCACAGAGGTCACCAATACCTGAGCAAGAAATTCCCCTTGTGTGCAGGTAAAGTAAAAATCTTCAGCCCTCTGATCTCCTAAAAATGCTTTTTTAAAAAAATTTGTTAAGGACAGAGAGTCATGGCTTGACCATTAAGTGTTGAAAGCAAAACATTATTCCTGGATGTTTACTCTTTTTGACATTAACACTGACCATATTTGAAGTTTCATTTGAAACTGCAATGTATTTTTCTTGTCTTGTTCCTTTATACTAGGATTACTCCAGTGATGATACTAAACTAGAATACAATGTAGATGCAGCCAATGGTATTGTTATGGAAGGGTATCTATTTAAGCGAGCCAGCAATGCCTTCAAGACTTGGAACAGGTAATTACTCAGAACCTCAATTTACTAGCTTATTAAAATACTGCTTGTTAAGCTAAATTCAAGTCTGACTTGTATAACCTATGCAACTCACTGATTCCAGTTTTGACATAACACTTGGACAACTCTGTTAATTAACGTAGCGATGACACTGCAAAGCTGTTTTTCCTTTGTTCTAAGAGTATATCTTAGTCTGCAGAAGACCTGTGTATGGAAAGTTTGTTTTGTGTGCAGTCCAGCTCTGTAACTGCATTTTGACCTTTTGGGGTTGAAACAGAGCAGTCCTTATGGCTGTATACAATAAGCTATGTGAATGTATATGCTAGGAAAAGAAGTGTTAGAGGACAAAGTAAAATGGCAGTTGTTTATCCATTGGAAACAGGGAAACACAGTGAAGGACTCAAGGACTTGTGTTATTTTTCCTGAAAGATAAGCATGTAATTGTTATCCTTTGCAATTCTTGTCCTGTGAAGTGACTTCTCCATAGTAGTTTTGATGGTCCTGTTGGGAATTCAAAATATATTGTTGGTCATGTCTCTTTAACAATGCATATTTTACTGTTGTTTAAATATTTTTCTCTCTGAACAGGACTACTTTTGCATTTCCAAGGGTGCATGCTTTTTTTAAGGAATTATTATATGTGCTGGAGCATTTGCAGTAGACTTGGATGCAGTTCTTGAATTTTAAGGTTAATTTGTTGTGATATAGGGCTCTTTTTACTATCTTATGCCCTGCAATTTTTGCAGCAGTGCTTCTGTTAAACTACTTGCTGTGTTTCAAAGGCCAGAATGTGCATTTGGATACGTGGTCCCTTACAACCTTAATTATTCTATAATTCCTTGAGCATCTTGGAACATCACAAATCTATAATAAATTGGGATTGTTTCACTTAGATCCATAGGCTGATGCAAGGGCCACTGCTGTCAATAAGACTGTATCTATATTAGCAAGTCATGTACAACTAGTATAAGAGATTTTGCTTTGGACTACTTCTAGTCTGGTCCTGTGGTCTGATTATCCATCTGTAATTGTAGTGTACCTGCTGGGTTAGTTTCATCCAAGCAGAATTCAGAGTTTTCCAAGACAAATCTGCGAGGCATCAAAGGACAGTGAATGGAGAAAACGGATTCAACACTTCAAAAGCACGTTCCTGGTCTTAAGTAAAATGTTAGTATAAGCACACTGAGAAAAATCTGCAGTAACAGGGCAGGAGATTGTCCCTTATTGGATTCTCAACAGGCTGAAAGGGGCCTTTTTGGAAGGTGTTTTGCAGGGTTGACTGCAGCCTCTTGATGAGTGACTGAAGGCAAAACCTTACTTGTTCTCTGGGTTCTTCTTTTGGATAGTATAAAGGCCTTGCTCTGTAGGGAGGTAATAGGACTGAGCAGGACATGAATGTTGGAAGGTAGCTGAGAAATATTCTTCTTCCACATGGCTTCATATCTAGTAATACTGTACATGTGCCTTAAGGTGGTTAGGGAGTAGGATTCAATTAAAACTAACTTCTGTACCTTGGAAATATAAATGGACACTAAATAATTATGGGGAAGTCATAATTAAATCAAGATACACAGTGACATACATTCTTTCAGGTTAAGTTACAGATTTGAGTGTATATAATAAAAACATATCCAAACAATAAGTTGAGAGCCAAGGTAAACAGCTCAGTAATGAGTCAGAGCTACCTACTTCTGCTATATAATTTATAGTTGCTTATAGTTTTTTCTTCTATTTGTCACAGGAGTATTGAAAAAAACCTAAACTTTTAACTTTTTTAATCTTAGGTTCTTGATAATTTATCTCACTGTGATAGGTTAGTTGGATGCTTCAGCATTAGGCAGAGAATAGCATCGGATATGCTATCTATAAACACAGTTCAGAAATTGAATCAATTTTGTACTTCACATTCACAAAACATTAATTGTTATGAAACTACTACTGCTATACATAAAAAATACACTTAAGACCTTCTTAATGAAAACTACTATTAGTTTCTGAATCTAGCCCCATTTTTCATGTTTTAATAAAAACAGAAGTATTTTCATCTTATTTCTGAATACATTTGTAATTGCTTGCCACCTTGTAGGCACTGAAGTGGTCATTGCCACTTTTTCCACTGCCTCTTTCCACTGATGGAATGCTTTACTTATTGTAGTATTGCAGTTTTGGCTGCAGGGAGATAATACTGATTAAAGTTTACCATATATTAGAAGTGAGAGTGTTTTTTTTTCCAGTAACTAGGTAGAGTACAGGAAAAGAGTACAGGTAGGACATTGCATTAAACTGCTTTGTGCATAAAAACGTACAGTGAAATGCCAAAGGAGGAGACATTTAGAGAATTATGTATTTTATATGAAGAAATTCAGAGCTGAAGTCAGAGACCCCAAGACAGACAAATATTTTCAGTGTTCTTATCAGCTAGGTAGTTTGCTGCTTCGTTATATGTCCATCTTTGGGGAAGGTGGGTGGAAAACCAACCAGCTGAAACAAAGCCAGAAGAATTTGCCTAGAAAGAAATCCTGGAGTTTTCTCATGTTCTGAACCGAGGGCGATGGCACTGGTCTTCCTTGCTAACTGCTGATTGTGGTGTAGTAATATGTATTTAAATGGTAGCTTCTCTTTTCCCTCTGCTATTGTCTGGTATTTTGATGGCTCTAGGCCTTTTTAAGTACTCCTTTAAGACTGAATTAAAGGCACCAAAAATCATTGCAATTACCACTATTAGTATACTTGCCAGCATTAAAAACATAAGAGAAAAGGAAATGGTACAATGGGTTTTGCCTAGGTTTGACACACATCAGTATGATTCTAGCTAACAAATCAGATAATTGTGATGCTTCTGTGTGCATGTCTTGGTCAGTAAATCCATGGACACCATAGTGGATTATTCTGGGAAAAATCTGATTGCTGAGGGGGGAGTCAAAACCATATAATGCAGCCCTTTGAAGGGGGGGCAAATCTGTTCTAATTAATAAAAACTTGTTTTGTTTCCAATCCAAGCTAATTTGCTAGAATGATATAGTTGCTTCCTGGGGCAGCTGGTAGCTTGGGTTTAATTGTCCTGAAGACTTTAGTTATTTGTGCTTTTGCATCAAGTTTCCAAGTGGGATAGTTCTGCATGACACTGACTTGAGAAACAAGTAGTGTTTGAGCAGGTTACAAATTAAACCACAAAAGCTATTTGCAATTCAGTGTCGCTGTGTTTAGAAAGAGCTGGAGATTTTGCAGTCTGTGTTTATTGTGACTAAATGGATAGTGTGTAATATAAATGAGTATTTCAGATCATGTACCTTAGTGGAATCAAAATGATATCTTTATACTGGAATGTCTTACAGTAACAAGTATGGAGAACTATTTTTTTAATGTATATCTATCTGTAGATTATCTACTTGTACGCCATTTTTCTTAAGGTATCAAGAACAGAAACCAGGTGCATTTATTCTTGTGGAGAAGTAGGTGGAAAACAGTTTTGGTTCCTAGAAATTCAAATGAAAAATAAGTCCATATCATGACGATAGATATGCGTGAATAAATATGTGGAGGGAGTAAAGCATTTATCAAACACTACTATGTTCTGAATAGTTTTTAGGTTGGATGCATTAAATGTTTTCCTTTTTAATTCTGCTGTATTTTCAGATCATGCTAATTCTTTGCTTATTTTGCTCATTTTGCATTTTTCATTCCTTTTCCTCCTTTCCCTTATGTTTTAATCCTACCCCATTTTTTCACATGACAGGAAAAAGCCAGATCACATCAGGTACCAACCAGCTTCTTTTATACCTTCCCCATGTTTCTTTGGCACGCAAAAAGCTCTTAATTAACCCTGCATTTAATTTTGATTACTTGCAATGGATGTATAAATGACTCAGTCTAAGAAAATAACAGAAGGATTCTGCCTGGGATGCCAGTATACCTGCTGCTCAACACCTTTAAAGGAATTAGAAAGAAGGAGCTAGTTTTAGCTAAAAAAGAATTAAAGCAAAGTTTCTGCACTCAAACTGCTGAGCGTACAAGATCAGTGTTTTGACTTTTTCCAATTGAAGTTGGTGAGATTTTTTTCTTATCAACTGCAATGGAAGTAGAGATGTAACTTTTAAATGTTGTGCATTCTTAATTACTGTTTTACTTGTGTGCTGAGAGCAACTAGAAGAAAACTGTTTCCTCTTGAGAATCAATAAACGTGATTTATTTTTTATGTAAAACTCAAATAATACATATTTCTTTTTGGTATTACTTTCATTTCTCAGAAATTGGAAATGTTTTTGAATGAAATTTGTATTGTTTCCTATTTAACGTATACTCATTTGAACTGTGTAGGTATAAATGATGGATAACATTCAGTTTCTAAACCCAAACAGCTATATTTAAGCACTGCTGAGTGAGGCAGTGCAAATTACTTTGATTCTCCTTCACCATACTTCTCTTCTGTTTTTGACAGAATGCCACATTTAATGAAACTTTTATAATGGTCAGTACTTACTGCATACATGTTGCCTAAAGTTTATGAACATTAATCCTTGAAACTGGATAGATGTAGTATACCCTATAACAGCACCTTCAGTACATGTATGTACCTCAGAAGTTCCTGGTTGTTACTGCTGTAGACCCCCAGCAGTCTGTTTCCTACAATAAATAGGAAAGTTTATTGATGATTTATTTAATAAGTAGAGTTTATTGATGATACTTGGTTAATATGAAATAACACAAAGTTTTTGGCCTGAAAAAAACTGCTGTGGTGCTGACATGTTGGAGGGGAGCCTGCCACTCTTATTTTTTTCAAGCATACAATAAAATGTATTAACTTTATTTTCCATTGACACCTACTTCAGAAGTGAGATCTACAGGTTATACTACATTCTAAATTGTTGGTTTGTTCAATAAAAGTTTCTTTTAAAAAAAAAATCAAAAACCCCATACTTTTTGGCTGGACTGGAAAGTTCTCTTAAACAGATTTAACTTCTCCACTATGAAAAAAAGGGTCTGGAATACTTTTAAAACTTACAGACGAGGCTTTAAAGATGACACAAATTTGCTTTACAATTTCTGTGCTCACTTATGTCCAGTTGATCAGATTGGGCTTTATTTATTTTAGTAACTAGCTAAATATTTAGCTGTAGAGCAAATGAAGCATTTAATTATACTACTTAAGGCCATTATTAGGGATTTGCTCCATTGCATGTTATTCTTGGGGCAAGGCCACCTTTTTTTTTTCCTTTTATCACTTAGGCACTGCTTTTCATGTTTTTCTATTTGGTGTTATGTTCAAAAAAAGCACATAAAAAAGCCTGAGTTTGTCCTTTTCTAGTCTGCTTTTTTGTTGAGTTACCTATTTAAATATTAGCAATACCTTGCTGTATGCTCATATTTGAGGCTTAGTTACTGCATTTGTGGTGGTGTTTTTTTAAAATAGATGGTAAAGGTGATACCTTTTAAATAGCAGTGACCAAAACTACCGCTGTTACTAAATTTAAGAAGTAGTTAACTCTTTTGCAGTATTCTGTTCAATTATCTTAACCCAAAAAGGTGACTGTTGTTATGCTGGAAATCCAGTATTAAAAGATGATCCTGTGGTTGCTTTTTAAATTCAATAAATCTGCACAACATTTGAAAAGATTAATTGTTAAAAGGTAGAATCTCATCTGTCTACTAAGTACTAACTTTTCTAACAAATACTAAATTTTCTGATTTGAATCTAACTTTTTATATCTTAATTTTTCTTAATAGTCTTTGTGTGCTTCTTTTCATGAATGGCTTATGGTTGTTCAATAAATATATGGAGCCCTCTTGCTACTAATTGTAGTAAACCTCAGCTTGAAATTCAACAGCCTGTGGAGAATAAAAAGATATGTTGCAATACAGTATTTTGTACACTGTTACCATTCAAACTAATTGGTGGTGCAGAAGAAAGTGATGTGTGGTATAAGTGGGGTATTTGAAATAATTGAGGAATTATGCTGAGATAAACACAGGCTCGCATTATAAGCCTGGGGGAAAAAAAGTGTAAATTTCACCTCAGGACTGAATTATTTTTTTTATATTCCCTTCATTTTTGTTAGTTCAAAACCAGTGATGATCGGTTAGCTTATATTTTGTGCACCCTTTGAAGAGCTAGAAAGGGATGGTTTTATTTGCTGTTTTTTCAATATTCAGTGGTCTGACAAAATGTAGTTGTTAGAGATCTGAGGTGCTCATAATTTTTTCCAAAATAAGAATGATCTTTCCATTCTCTATTAATTGTATCCTGTCTGAAGAGTGAGCTTGACGAGGAAGGATACAGTTCAGAGGAGTTTGTGTTATGTTATCTTTTGGATTTTATAGGGTGCCTTCATTAAACCTTTTATTTGATATTTTCCTACAAAGCTGAGGCTTAAGTTAGGATCCTACTTAAAAGGTTTTTCTTGGTTTTGCTTTGTTTTTGTATGCAATCTTTTTATTTCAGCATCTAAAATTTTAAGAAATGCCAGCTATAGAGGGACATTAAACCTACATGGGATAGCAACACTGTAGTATTTTTAGTGCCATAGTAAGTTATTTCTTAGTTCCACTCAAAAATATTTCAGGAATGAGTAGTTTATATAACTTAAGTATTTTTGTTATTCAAACTATCTGAATATGTGTTACCAATTACTTAAAATTGTAGCTTGCTGATAAAATACAGAGGTAAATGTTCTTTGAAATGAAAGTGTTTTGTGTGATAGCTACACTAATGTTGCCATAACATGAATGTGTTTGTTTAGGACTCAAATTATTTGAACCTTGCTTTCTTTTCTGTTTTGTCTCTGCTTTCCCTTTTTTCATTATTTTTCACGAAATACTTGCCAAAACTGACTGCAGCATTACTTTGCAAGCTCTTTTATGCAGTCCCTCTGTAGACTGTACGTTAGCACGTTTCAGTCAAATAAGCACTGTAAAGTCAGTTATGTATTACTCTCTGGATGTCTCTCTATTTGAATAGGCGCTGGTTCTCAATACAAAATAACCAACTTGTGTACCAGAAGAAATTTAAGGTGGGTATCAAAAACTGGCTTGGGATAGTTTGGGGTGTGGGTGATGGTTTTCCTGGTTGATAGGGACAGGAGAAACAGTGCTGACACTGGCATGCTGTGTGGTCTTGAACAAGCTGCTGCAATTTCTAGATTAGTTTCTCCCTTTGTAAAACGAGGCTAACAGCTACGCTTTCAGATTCTGAGATTCCTGCAAAGTGACTTGTAAGCACAGACTTCATCTGCTGGGGGTTTTGGTACCTTGTTGCAGAGAAAGTTAATGAAAGAACCTTAAAAGTTGTTGGTCCCGAAAGGCTTGTACACACTTGGCAGCAAAATATTCCATGCTGTTCTTTGAGCAGTTGTGTTTAACTCTTTCAGGGCTTGCTCTCTCCAGTTGCTTACTGGGTTCACATACCCAATTTAGCAGCTGGAGGTGGAGGGGGAAGACATGAAAGCATTTGTTATGAAACAGTCAGGGATGCTATGTACATGTATTTAATACTGAGAATGCAAGGTGGCTCAGCAGCCAGTATCTCTCTTTTTGCTGGTGGGGGAGTACAGTTGTGTTAGAGCAGCAAGTGCAACTCTGGCTTCTACAGCTTGGGGCAGCCTTTTCAATCAACACTGGGGCCTGTGCTCCTTTGTTTACTATTCTCGAATCTGCTTTTCAACCACATAGCTGTAACTGTTCTTGTGTCAGAAAAAACTAGAGAACTGTATGGAGAACTCAAAAAAGAGGGTAGAGCTTATGACAGTTCATTTCCCTTCAGCGTTAACAAACCAAGTTCAGAGGCTGTTCCTTGTTATCCGATGCTATCAAATCAAGGGTCTTCATTTTTGTGGTTGGAAAGGAAACAATCAGTTGAGTTTGTGTAAGCGCATTTGAGTTGGGCATTTTGTGTTTGTGAATTCCAATTATGTTTTTATGTTGTTTTTTTTTTTAAAGCACCTTTAAAATGCTGTTAGCTTAGAATAGAATTCTTATGAATTGAATCAAATTTTCAAGACCACTGCATCCAATGTCAGGGTTTTTTACTTGGCACTTATAATACTGCTGATTTAGTTATGATCTTCTCAGTTCGTGAGCTAACACTTAGAAAGTATCTTTGCACTCCTTCGAATACTGTTGTTTAGGGTGTTGATTATTTAGTAAATTAGATTGTAGATGAAAAGGAATTCTCCAAAGTTTGTATTAAGTTTTCATAAAATAAAAAAATAAAATTTATCCAAATATTTCCTACTAAGTATCTCATGTTCAACCTATTTAAAATTTTATTTTTAAAGGGAAAAACAATGTGTAAACAAGTCACATAGAGGAAAGATAATAAAGTTGCTAATAATTATTTATAGTTTAATTCTATGTGACTTGTTTTGTTAATTTTTGTCTCTTAGGATAATCCCACAGTAGTTGTTGAAGACTTGCGGCTTTGCACAGTTAAACACTGTGAGGACATAGAAAGGCGTTTCTGTTTTGAGGTGGTTTCTCCAACAAAGTAAGTAGAAGTGGTGGAGCATGTTTATTTAAAAATAAAACAAATCATTACATTCAGTCATCTTGAAATGCAAGATTAGCATTTCTCTTGGGATAGATCAGAACAGGAAAAGTATCTGAACAATTCTGTTTTCTGAAATTTTGGCTAAGAGTAAGTGATGCTGTGAGAAGTGTTCCTAGTATTTAGTTTACTTTTGGCATTAAAATAAACATGCATTCTTGTGCTTTATGCATAAATGGCCTGTGGTTGGGGAGCTGTTGTGGGTTGGCAGTAGCTGATACTAGCAAGCCGCTTAGTAGCGTAGAAAATAGATCTCAGTTTCTCCAAATTTCTGATTGGTGCAATGAGAGAGAAACATATTAACAAGTTATCACCTCAGTAGTGTTAAATTGCATTTCAGAATGCCCTAAATGAAACTACCAAATAAAATTTTTTCATCTGTAGCAGTGCAGTGTATTGGTTATATTTGGAGAAGTGTGGCAGTCTTCCCGCAACCAGGGCGCAAGACATGGGTTTCTCATTAATGAAGTTGAGATGTGACCATATTTAAATTTTTCATATAAGGTCAATGCTGATTTTAGGTTTGGATGGTATCTATACTGCCCACTCCTACTTACATTTCTCCCCCTTAATAGATTGCTGTCCTAATGTTTGCATCCTCAGTTGTGGTTCACTTCAACATGCATTTTGCTCCTGCTTGCCTATATTTTTTCAGCCCACTAGTGTTGGAACAGTTTATACTTCATGACCTGTTTTCTTTTGGCTGTTGATGTGAAAAGTAGTTCATTCTTTGTCAGAGAGCTTTAAAATAATTTTCTCTTGATCTCAGTGAACAAACTGTGTTTTCAAGGACTGATACCTGTGTCTTGTGTAATTAGGCATGGAGGTAAATTGCATGTGAGGATATATAATTGAAAAATTTGGAATAAGGAAAAAAAGGGAATAGGAAGTTAAGCCATTCTCTGGGTCATTTGAAGAGTCCTATCTACATGTTTTAGTATTACTGGAAATAGTTTTGAAACAAGGAATTTGCAATTTATAAAGGGTCAGCTGCTTTGTTATCCCCAAATGAATGGGTTTATTAGATGATGCCTACTAAACAATATACTTATGGTGATAGCAAGAAAATTTCTCAAGAGTCTGTATTTTATTGAATGATGTGTTGTTTGATGTTAGCTGCTTGGTCAATCTCTCTGAATGTGAGTACACATGTATTTGCCACAGAAGCTGCATGCTTCAGGCTGACTCGGAAAAGCTGCGACAAGCATGGATTAAGGCTGTTCAGACCAGTATTGCTACAGCATATAGAGAGAAAGGGGATGAATCTGAGGTGAGTTTAAAAACCAAACAAACAACCACCCTTTTTTAGATCCTGAAAATTAAAAGTAGGGAAAACCTCTTTTTATGAGAGGGGAGGAAAAAAAGAATCCCTTGCTTGTCTTCCAGTGGAAATGCAATGAAATTTTGAAGGCTATGATTTATATCTAATCTGTCTTTCACTCCATTTTACTAATGTTACTTTGGCCTATATGTTTTGATGAGATTTTTCTTTAGTGTGATTAAAATTCATATGATTATTGGATACTTCTATATTAAGTTCTATATTTCTTCTAAAAAGCTAAACATTTTTTCAGTTCTATGGCTTTCCTTGGCCTTAAATGCAGAAGTTACTTTTCTAGGAATCTAGTGTACTGTCAGTATCTGTAGGACACTTTATTGTAAAGCAATACTCTTATTGCATTAATTTAGTGTGTGTGTGTGTCTTTTGTTTCTGTTTTTTAGAAACAGGAAAAGAAATCATCCCCTTCTACTGGAAGCCTAGAATCTGGCAGTGAGACAAAAGAGAAGTTGTTAAAGGGAGAAAGTGCTCTACAGCGAGTTCAGTGTATTCCTGGTAATGCTGCCTGCTGTGATTGTGGTTTGGCAGATCCTCGCTGGGCCAGTATCAACCTAGGAATCACGCTGTGCATTGAGTGCTCTGGGATACACAGGTTGGGGAACTCTTCAGAACTATATTTGAGTTGTGGATTGACTTAATTAGGAAGGGTGGTGTTTGCCTCTTAAAAGCATATTGAAGCAAGGTTAGAGACCCCTGTTTGTAAAGAGAATTAAGGTAACTGCTTTATTTGCATAAATTAATGTAAGATGTCTGAGGTAAGACACAGCATGCAGTTACAGGTTAATATGTTTCTTTCATGCTGCTTAGGAGCTTGGGAGTCCACTTTTCAAAAGTAAGATCTTTAACGCTGGATTCATGGGAACCTGAACTTCTAAAGGTATGATAGTATTTTTGAAACAACTTTCTATTTGGTACTAGATTGTTATTCTAAAGCCACTGCATCAGGAAGTTCAAGGCAGGAAACACTTGCATTTGTATGCAGTGCATGTCTTAGTTTTTCTACTTGAAAGTGCTTATAGTTGTCTGGTTTGTTTTTTTTTAATTCACACCTTATAATACAGGCAGTAGCAATAGTCATTCTTGTGGACAAACTCGTCAGTCAGGTCAATGTATGACACTTCTGGGTTCACAAATGCACTTTGAGTAGTAAGTTTCCTCTGATACTTTCAACATATAAAAATGGAAATCTGTTTACAGACCAATCATATATAGAAAAATTTTGGAAGTGCTGTATCAGCCTAAAGCATGATCATACTTGAAAATTCAGATGCCGACTCTGACAGTGAGATCTTAATTTTGTGCTCCTGCTGGCTTATAGCAGAACATTCACGCAAGTGCTCATGTGTGCTATGTGTGTGCCAAAATTCTAGCTTGAAACACAGTTATGAAAACTATGTGACATTGAAATACTGAAATAGGAACTCACGCATGGATACATGTGAGCAGCTAAGTAACTGATGCAAAGCATTTGTTTCTAGCTGTGTTGTTTTGATACTTAAGTATTGCTTCTGTATTCTGAACAATCAAAAGACATTGTGAGTAGGGGAGTTTCTCCTGTGGTTTGACCTTAAATAATTTTAATATCAATGTGTTCATGCTGAGGAAACAAAAATTCCCCAAAACTACACCCTTTGTCCCATTCATGTGAACACCAGAGCTGAATATTCTACCTGGTATTAGAAGCAAGAAGTCTGTTCACTGACATCAGTAAGTTGGACTTTATGGGCTAAATCCTCCTTCAAGTAGTATCTGCAGGCTATTTTTTGTCTTTGATCTTTTTGTATAGACATAATAGATTATGGTTTAGCAAAAATGTCTAGATAAGGTGGAATAGAATTGATGGAATTGTCTCTTGCCAATGGGGTAAGAATAGCTACTGGCAAAGCTGGTAGAAAAGAGTACCTTTGTTAATGAGGCCTGCAGATGTCATTCTGATTGCACAAAAAAGATTCTTGGATGACATATGGCCATTTATGTGGTCCTTTTTCAGAAGGGAGTGGTACTTTTTTTTTTGCTATCTTACTCAAAATTTGGGCTCTCTATTCACTGATGGCTTCATTATCCTGATATAAACCCATGCTTATTTCTGTAAGTGTACTTTTACCAGTGAAAATACTAAGTTGTAAAAATAGGCTGAGTGAGGTTAAAAACGTAGGTAGATAAAGCCTTTTTCAACTGTATTTGAATTTATTTATTTTGCTTCATAGCTTATGTGTGAATTGGGAAACGATGTTATAAATAGAATATATGAAGCGAAGTTGGAAAAAGTGGGAGTGAAGAAGCCACAACCTGGAAGCCAAAGGTAGTAATTTACTTGCAGTGCCTCTTCCTTTTCTTGTTGCTTCCTTCAGCTTCCAGCTTTAAAAGATGCTGCCACTTAATAGTGTAACACTCCTTTGATTTACTCTTCGTTTCCCCTTACCACCAGTCTGTTTTGCTCTCCTCCTTTTCTCACTCTTTGTCTTTATTGGGTATTCCTTCTGTTGGTCCTTTTCGTCTTCTCTTGTTCACTTGTTCTTTTTCTGATCTCATTCCCTCCTTTTGGTGACAACTCTATAGCAACCTGCTTTGTCTTATCAACGTGAGCATGTTGATTTTGTTTCCTGTCTACTTTGTACCATCTCAGCCAGCTGTACTTGGTCTATGAGTGCTCCTGGAAGGAGCCTGTGGCTGTGCCCTTTGTTTACAGTGACTTTGTTCTTGAGTTTGACTTTTGCTCCTTGATCCCCAGAATGTTCTTTTCTTTCTGCCTACATTGTACATGAAGGTTGCTGTAAAGCAGCAGAGCTCTAATGATTATACTGCTGTCTTCCATTTCTTTGATGCTAATTTCCATTTGGAGGTAGTTTCCTAATGTTTTGCTCTGCTGCATGAGATGTTTTTTAAAACTTTTTTTTACCAGCTTTCCAGGTCTGTACTGCTTGCTCTCAGGCACGTTTATAGAAAAAAGCATTTTATAAAGTGTTGGCGATTTGGAGACAATGACAATAAAATAACGATGTAGGAGATTTGCTAGATATTCCTTCTAGTGGTAACTGCTTTTCAGCAGTTTGAGTAGTAATACTTTTATAGCCCCTTTCATCAGTTTGCTACAACTGGTATGTGTGTGATTATAACCTCAGGTTACAAGAAAAAGTATTTCAGTATGCATTATGGAACTGGTGGCTCTGCCTACCTGAGGCTTATGTATGGTGTGCTTGTGCAATCTTGATGTTCCTTTAACAAATGTTGCAATTTATATTTTACCTAAGAAACTAAATGTATGCTATATTAATTGGTTATTAACTGTGTAAAACATATATCATAGATTAATACCAAGAAGTTGTAGTTGGACTAGATGATCATTGTAGGTCCCTTCCAAACTTTCACCTTTCTGAAAATGTGTCATAAACGTGTCTTATGTGCAATGCCAAACTACAACTTTGGTTACTGGCTTTAGTATGAAATGGATGTTCTTTTAATACATGAAAGTATTAAAATATTAGCTTTCTAACTCCAGGGATTTTGTATATAACAGGCAGGAGAAGGAGGCATACATCAGAGCAAAATATGTGGAAAGAAAGTTTGTAGAGAAGCAGCCTGCATCAGTATCTCTGCTTGAATCTGGAACAAAAGTTTTGCCTCAAAGTCAGGAAGAGAAAAGGCACAGTGGCCCTAGGGAGCAAGGTGTGGCATTCCAAAAAGGTATTTACACACTTCTCTCTTTAGCTGTATTACACATGTTCTTTTTAAAGTAACATATTTTTGTATTAATTAACTTCCTGCCTCATGCAGAGAAATTGGAATCTGTCCTTTAATAGGTCATAGCCTAGTTCAGAAATACAAGGGAGAAAAGACTTGTTCAGAGATGTGCATCTTTAGGTGGGGAAGAATTTGGATTGGGGATGCTTATCATTCAGAAACATATTAACCACCTTCTTTCCTCCGTATTTTCATCCTTTTTAATTTTTCCAATAACGTTCTTTCCTGCCCTATCCTTTCCTTACTGCCTGCTTTGTGCTTTGCTAACTTGCATGTCCCAGCGGTTGCTGTAAGTAGCGACGAGGCGAGACGGGAGTCTCTGTTCTGTCCTGATGAACTAGATTCACTCTTCTCCTACTTTGATACCTCTTCAAAACTACGTAGTAGTAAGTACTACAGCTGTGGCGTGTTCAGTATTTGCACTAGTGATCCATTGCATGTTGTGGCCATCTCCCTGCTTTTGATCCATTGTCTCCAGGCTACTGCATTGCTTAGTGTTTTCATGAAATAATTTAAGCTTTTTTACTTATCCTGATCTCTTCCTTTCTTATACTCTTTGACATTTATTATTATTATAAATGTTATGGTTGCAATATATGACTTCGTATTTTTCTATGGATATGTTAAGAATATTGAATAATTACTAGTCATTAATAAAAAATATGTATTCAGGACCAAGTATAAGAGCTTGCTTTATTATCATGGTATCTGTGAAGAGTAGGTAACCTACGGTCTGCATAGTAATTACAGTTTCTCCCCAAAACAGTACAAAGCAGTGACAGTGGGATCCAGCAGAGTACTGATGACAGCAGAGAACACCTTGCCTCTACTATGTCAGCTAACAGTTTGTATGAACCAGGTGCGTTAGCCTTTGCACTTTAAGATGAAAATTTAATCACTTCTTGGTGGCATGTTCTTATCAGAGATTAGTAGTTGGTGATACAATTCATGTCTCTTCTATCCTGGCAGGCTGAAATATTTTTAACAAAGGTAATTTCTTGAGTGACCTTTCTCTCTTCCTGGGTTGGTAGCAAAAATGACACTGAATAATTCTAAATAAGTTCAGAGAATTATGTTTTTTCCAGTCGGATGATACTGAGCCAGAACTTTGGTTTTTGGCAGAGCACGCAATGTTACATTTTGATACAGACAGGTTTCCACAGAAATGCATAATCCTTTTAAAAATAGTTAAATCCTTAGAGATGGAATTCCTGTTAAGTCACAGATAATAGGCTTTTATGTGGTGTTTGAGCATTCTTGCTTGATTTTTCTGTTTTCCACTCTACATGGAATTGACCATGTCTTTAAACAGTACCCCCTCTTTACTCAAAGTTTTATAAATTGATTGATGAAATTACGTGCTATCTAATATTAGCATCCAGGGCTGACAGATGTCTTGAGTATGGCTTGTCAAAATATCTGAAACATTTATTTATAAAGCAAGTTTACTCTTCTACATCAAAACTTTCTTCTGAAGTAGGTTTTAAATGCAGTAGTTCACGGCTGTTTCTTGTAGGCAAGCAGCATGCAGGCTTGGATCTTTTCGTGTACTGCATCGTGTTTCTACGACGCAGTAATTCATGAAAGCTTGTATGTAACAATGTCTTTATCTCCCAGACTTCACTCTGTATTACTCTTATTGAGATGAAAAGAAAGATTATGTTTCAGTCCAAAAGATTATAGCCACAGTGAGAATTGGTGAATGACAATGGTATCTTTTAACAAAAACTAGACCAGAACAGAATTAGCCTTATATTCAGGTGTATCAAGCTGTTGCAGATAAAGATATATTTGTATGACTACATCTCTGCAGGAAATTAGTTTTATTCATATCTTGCAGTGTAGGATAAAACACATTTCTAACCTAAAATAATTTCTTAGAAATGACATGGAATAGATAGATTGAAGGATACTCATATGTGCCAGAATATGGAGTAATTCTGGGCAGTAATCATTCTGTGAAGTGGGCATGCCTGAATGCTAGAATAAGCTAAAGGCATCTGTGAGTTCTCCAGACAGAATGGGGCAACAATGCACCACATTCTGCAAAACCTGAGCTACCTTATGCCAGAGAAATTATATTTTGGGGTCAGAATTCCAGAAGATACCTTATAAAAACAGGGATTACAGATAAGCTTTTTTTTTTCTTTTCAGAAAGAGACAAGCGAGAGTCTTCTGTGTTCTGTGACTCCAAACAGCCTAGTCCAGGATTGCAGCTGTATCGAGCTGCCTTTGAGAAGAATCTTCCTGATATGGCAGAAGCATTGGCCCATGGAGCTGAAGTAAACTGGGTCAACATAGAAGAAAACAAAGCAACACCACTCATTCAGGCAGTGCGAGGGGTATGTCATAACCAGCACCGACTGATGCGGGAGGAGGGGAAGGGGAATAATAGGTATATTTCTGTATCATTGTTCCCTTTGAACTGCTTGCTTTGTTCATGAATTATAATTTGATTTTGAAGTTGTTTTTACAGTGATCTCTCAAAGTTGTTTCTTTCGCTGTTAATGCTTTGTTTGGAATTACATAACTTAGTAGCGTTCAAATTTGCTATGGAAGCAAATCCCTTTTGTTTCCTTTGCCACATGACTCAGTGGTAAGAAGGCAGAACAGGTTTGGCTCTTATCCTAGAGATCTGGTGCTGAATTATTTCTTTGCTTTTATTCCATAGGGTTCGTTGGTTACTTGTGAATTCTTGCTGCAGAATGGGGCCAATGTGAACATCAGGGACATGAAAGGAAGAGGACCCCTGCACCATGCCACGGTTCTAGGACATACTGGGTAATTCACTGTTCCAGAATTTGTAAATGGCCATCCTTTACTATCATTGTTAATGTGAAGTTTCTTCACTTCCCCAAATATTCTGTCAATTTAATATATTTCAGGTGATCTAGGTGTTTCTTAAACTTTGTGGAGAGAGAGGAAATAACATTTTGAATTAGCAGTCTTTTCTGCTAGCAAAACACACAACTATAAACACACTTTGGTCCATTTTGTAAAAACCTGTATTTAATAATGCTTTGAAATAGTATGAACTTTTGGTGAAGACTCATGAGATTTTTCTCGTTTTCTTAAGAAATATGATACAAATAAGAGAAATAGCGGTGTGTGAGGGCCAAGGCTTTCTCTGACTTATCCCACCTGTGTGTTGCACTGAGAGTGTACATCATTTCAAATTGGATGGCATTACGTCTTGAGTTTTGGAATCATGGCTTTTAACTGAAACCCTGTCCAGCTCAGTTGAAATGAGGACATAATGGTCTCGTTGATGGTGCAACTAAACTCTTTGCATGCATGAATTCTAAATAGAACACAACAACCTGGGAGACCTTAAGATGTAAGCTTAGTCAGGGCTTAGGCAGTATGCCCTGTTTATAAAGATGAATTACAATAGCAGAGAAAAATGAGATCAGTTTCTATTGGGTAAATCGGGCACCTGTGAACTGTATTCTTTCCTGCTCAGTGGTTCTCGTCTGTTGCAGTGAAAGGGATGAGGTTTTTTGGTTCTACAACTGAAGATGATACAGGAAGGTAGAGTTTTGCTTCTGAAGAGTTCAACTCCTTGCAGCCATAGCGTGATTTGAGTTAGGCTACCTTTCTGATGTGGATTAAATAATTAAAGGTTTTGCTTGCTACTGTGTTAACATCTTAGCTGTTTTAGATGATCAGCACTGTTTTGATACGTTTGAGAGACTTTTGGCGATTTAAGCCAAATACATTGCATCCAGCTTGAATTTATTTGCTTTTTTCCTTTATTGTTGTGAAAATTATTCTTAAATGCTTTTTCTAAACAGGCAAGTGTGTTTATTCCTAAAACGAGGAGCAAACCAGCATGCCACTGATGAAGATGGGAAAGATCCATTGAGTATAGCAGTAGAAGCTGCAAATGCAGATATTGTAACATTGTAAGTTGTACGTTCTGTTTTTGACTAGGTAACTAGGCTTTCTTATTTTTTCAATTTAAAAATATAAGAAATGCTAAAATTCCTTTACATAAAAACAGGGAGAGCAAATTAAAATCAGAGAGAGGACACTATCTATAGATGACCTCATTGGCATGAGGTTCAGGAGTGCATTGTAGCTCTTGAATTGCTGCCTTTTCTAGTGCTTTAAAGATGACATTGTTCTTTTTGTTTCTTAAATCATAGGTTGCGTTTAGCAAGGATGAATGAAGAAATGCGTGAATCGGAAGGACTCTATGGACAGCCAGGTCAATACTCTACTAATAACCATACTGAAATGCAGTATAAAAAGTGTATTCAGGAATTTATCAGTTTACAATTAGATTCTTAGGACCTGAAGGAAATTTAAGATAGCTTCATAATGTTTTTTTTTATAAACAACCAACACATGTTAAAGCTTCATTGAAATTCACTGGTGTGATTTTGTCAGATTATTTAGGGGACCTAAAAGGAAAGTGTTTAAGTACATTATTATAGTAGTGTATATTACTACAGGCATTACCAACCTCTTTTGCTGGTAGTTGTCCTCAGTTAACATATTGATGTTCCATTGAAATTCACGTACTGTTAGGATTTAGCTGATGTTATTTAGTAGCAGCCTTCTGGCCCAGGTTGCTCAGATACAGTTGAGGAGTTCGTCTTATTACAGGATACCATTCTCTTTCCTATGGAATGGTCCCCTCTTTGTTTTTTTAAGAAAAAATGCTTGCACGCCAATGTAAAAATGTACATCAAATATTTCAAAATAACTCCAGACAGAAATAGGAAAGTATTTTTTCCTCAAATTTTATTTTAAAATATTTTTATTTGTTAAGATACAAGTAAAAACCAAAACAGTCATTCCTAAGTATGTATTTTTGTATGCACGGTATCTTACCGTTTGATTTAAAAAAAGAAATAAATTGTCATCCATTTGAGCCAAATGGTACAAGAAAGTAACAAATTATATTTAATGAATGTGTTCAATATATATAATGAATATGAAAATTTAATGAATAATATTATTCTCAGGCACTCAGTACCAATTTACACTATGTTCTGATGTGATATTTATGCAAGCCATTTCTTCTATTATGGTATGCTTCCATAGGAATGTAGTTTAATCTCATGTAAATATCAATAACGAAGGCACACCTGATTGTCAAGGTAGACAGCTAAAAACACACCGCTGTACCTGGCAGTAGTGAAAGGCAAACCGTACTTTTAAGATTGAGTGCCAAGTACTCTTGACTCACTCCTATAAAGCCCTTACGTATTTTCCACTGATTCGTAAGTCTTTTACCAGATTGGGGCTGGAATATGCTCAAAGGGCGATACTGAGTCTTATGTCAATATCCCAGATGAACTCTATTAAATAAACACGATTTATTGAGTTTCTCCTTAAAAATAAATTTGAAAAACATCTACTCTTAAATCTTCTAGGAAATTAAAATTAAAACAATAAAAGTACTATAGACACTCATTCAAATGCTTTCTTTGGCAGAGCAACAGATAATTTAAAAGTATATACTTGATTATGAGCTTAAATGAGGAAGAATTCCCCACTCAGAAAATGCAGCAGGCTACATACATGAAAAAAGTGTATTGCCTATTTGGCCATTTTGAATGTAAAGCTGTTTTCTGATACAATGCATACTACTTCACTGACAGGCTGAAGGTAGCAAATACTGAAGTATTTTTGAGTGTCCTCGTTTTTAAGAGGTAAAAATAATAACTATCAGTTTCAAATAGTAAAATGCCTTTGTTTTAAGGGAGGTAAGTGTTCTGTCTCAAAAGCTCTGTGCTAAATCATAAGTGAATATTTTAGATCATTTAATTGACCTGTCACAAATCCAAAATTATTACAAACCAGAAAACATGTTTGTATAGTTTGTACAAAAAGCCTCAGTTGGTTACTGAACATTAGAAATGTTTAGTAAAACGTTTAGTGCAAATATAGGCACTACTTACATGAAAATATGAATGTGTTTAAACTGGAGATGGGGGAGACTATTTTCCCATGACATCTTGTTTAAAATACTCTTTTAGACAGATTCTTCAGTTAGGTAGATGAAATAAAGAGCTGGACAAGTCTTTCATTGAAAATATCTTGACCTTTTTATCAGTTTGTATTACAGTAGAATCTAGAGACTGCAGGTGATACAATCTGATCAAGATATTTTACGGATCGTATCTGGTCCTTGTAAACAGGCAAGATTGACAATGGAAAGTAGAGCTGTCACAAGGGATAGAGCTTGCCCAAAATCAGGAGGAGGGTATTGTCAGAGTAATTTTTGAAATTCGGGCCGCAAGCTGTAGCACAGTGTCCCGGCCAGGAGATCTTGCTGTATCTTTGGATAGACTTGCCAAAGTCTCTTTTAAAAGTTGAAGTAAATATTTGAGTGTTTTATATATTAATATCTGCTAGCCTGACGGAAGGGTCATGTAAATGTGTAAGTGTAAGCACAAAACCTGTCTTTCCTATCACAAGGTACGGTACCTTTACATGGTTGTAGAGAGGGCAGGTTTTTTTCACTGCGTATACATGTTAAATTAGCTGTGCTGCCCTTGTTTTAGAACTCCTCTTTTCCAAAATTATGATTCTAGAAGAAAATAAGGATTTTCAACACAATTGTATGTTTGGGAGCCATGTGAGGGTAAATACCAATGTATGAGTTTTGCTTAATTCTCTGCTTCAGTAATGTGGTTGATAAACAATTACAAATGTAGCTAATGGCATCAACATTTCTAATCTAAACATACCTGGCTGGTTTGAGCTACTGAGAGAATGTATATATTGCTTTGCAAGGTACAGAAGGTCTTCCAAAATATTCCTAGAATGGAAACAGCCTGAAACTAGCTTGTTCCACAGAAAGTTCATTTCTGATGGTAGAAGCCATATGCACCATTGTACTGTTTCGCATATAATACTTGAGTGCTCATCTTCTGGTGCTACTGTGTGTCTGCTAACTATTTGATATTAGTATTGCTATTTTTTTCTTCCTATCTTTTCTTGGATGTATGATGTGTGCCTTTTGAGTTATTCTGGTGTTAAATGGTAAAGCAGTGTTATAGTATTTTTGTACATAAAATCTGCACTTTAGGGAAAACATTGCTTGGAAAGGGAATTTCCAGAATTCAATTTTAAAGTAGGATTTTAAAATAATTACAAGGTTTACAGTATTAAGTATTTTAATGCAGCATACAAACTAAAGGGGCACTTTATTTTAGTCTATTTTTGTATGTAATATTTTTGTTACGTAACAAAGCCAAAAACAGAGCCACAATGTACCTTGCAAAAATAACTTTTGTTTTTTTCTTTCAAGTTAATTTGAAAGAACCAAATGTGGCAACTTGAACTACAGTACTAGTTCACCAGGGGAACCCACTTCCACTTTAAAAGCATAATTGCTTTTATCATACAAGCTCGATTCTGATTTGTGCTTTTCATAGCTGTTCTTTTGGTGAATGTTAGAACTGCCTTCATTCTGTCCTTCTCTCCCAGCACAGGCAGTTATCAGAAACTTACAGTAAAATGTGTCCTGTGCCTGCTTCATCTCTAGAACATACTTGAAACTAAATCTGAAAAACAAAAAGGAATTTCACTGAAACTGACTTTTCCTAGTAGAGCAGTATCGAATGTATTTATCTTTTAAAGTCTGGGAATAATTGTAATTACATTGTTATGTAAACCCACATGCCATGCATGTTAAGTATTTCTGGGAGGTCGGGTATAATTTCTGAAAGTGTTTTCAAATGAATGGAGTCTCATCTCCAAAAGAATAATAGTTCTAATATTGGAAATGTGCATTAAAAGATGGAAAAACTTCAGTGTTAACTTTTCACTGTAGCATAAACTTGTAAACACAAAAAAATCCTTTTTAAAACTGCCCTTGGAAAAAAGCAGTGGAATAATACTTCTGCAATCATATTGGGAAAAAAAAAACCTTCATGTTCAACATAGATGATGAGAGAAACTTTGGGTTGATTTCTCTGTCATGCTATTAATCAAGCTGTCAGCAAGGAACAGTAGTACTGGGATGATAAAATCCTAGAATAGTTTGGGTTGGAAGGGACCTTCAAAGGCCATCTAGTCCAACCCCCCCCTGCTGAAGACATCTTCAACTAGATCAGGTTCCTCAGAGCCCTGTCCAACCTGACCTTGAATGTTTCCAGAGATGAGATCTTGTGTGGTCATCTGTGTTGGGAAGACAGTAAAATTTGGATGGCTGCATAGTTTCTGACCAGATCAAATGTTTTTATGCATTTAATTCCCTTTGAAGGCAATAGGGTATGGTTAATGTTTTAAAATGAAACCTGAACTCAAGGCCCAAAATGCTGCAGCAGATGAAATGTCTATTTTAAAGTGGCAGAAGAATGACTTGGCAATTACTCAAGAAGTAATCATTCCTGAATGTGGTTTCCTGTGTAGACAGGGAGGGAGAGGGTGACAGTCCTGGTGGAAATTGCTGCCATCCCTCATTTTGGAATATGTACTAGTAGTTGGGTTGTGTTTAAGCACAAAGGGTGAAGATTAAAAAAAACAAATGAAAGATGTTTAAGGAAAGTATCATCACACATAGATAAAATGAAAAGATGTAAATTATGTTCAGTAATGCATGTAAAAATTTTATTTGCTGAAGTAATAGACCAAAAGGATTTATGAACAATAATTTGTCTACTTAGGATTGCTTTTTTTTTTATACTATTGCTTGCTGATTCTTAATTTCATGGAGAGTTCTGTCTGGCTGTAAGACTTATGACCTCTGTTTTCAAGTAAATCTTTATTTATGCCACAAGTCTACTTCTCTGAAGAGAATCTTGGTTACCACTTCCTTGCAAAAACAAGGATTTTATTCTTTAATAGCTAATAAACATTTTTTCTTTTTACATTGCTTTAAAATGCTTTGATTTTTTCCTTTCTAACTCTGAACTTTCCTCTGTGGCTGCCTGTGAGGTACTATTTCAAGGTATAGTTTGGCTTTGTTTAATTTGCTTCTACAGAACGTGCATGCAAGTAAACAGTCCCAAAAAGTTCACATCAGCATCATTTCATCTATAAGCAATCTTTATACATGAATAAGTGTTATAGAGTAATCGGTAGCACAGTAGGGCATTTGTGCAATGGTGGGTGACAATAACTATCACAAATGTTTAAAACCATTTCCCTTTTCTTTTTTTACCTAGGAGATGAAATTTATCAGGACATTTTTCGTGATTTTTCTCAAATGGCATCAAATAATCCAGAGAAGCTAAACCGTTTCCAGCAGTCTGATTCCCAGAAGTCTTAAGTGTCAAGAAGGCAAAGAACCTGATCCTTATAGTGCAAGTCTTTTTTTACTTTAACAGAATGAATTATATGCATTTTGTTAGATAGTTTGGATAAAATGACCACTCTGATGTAGCTTTAGATTGTGGTAGCTGGGGAAATGTATGAGTTTTATGTTCTACAGTATGTATACCTCAGCAGCTGAAGAAAATGTTTTGGAAAAGGAATACCTGCTAGCTCAATATAAAAATAGCACCTGTTAGCAAGTACAAAGTTTGTCTGCAGTTCATAAAGTTATCAGTGTAGCTGTGTACGTTGCAGATTCCGGATGGCAGGAAGGTCAGAGCAGCTTTGCTATTTAGTATTCCCTACTGTTCATCTGTCTGCCTATTGCCATAAAGACTGTGCTGCTGACAAGAAGGTCTGTGTTGCATTTTCTGGAACTTTTTGGAAGGTAAATTGGGTAGTGACTTACTGGTTTGTCCTTCTATTTGTGGGTCTATAATTTAACAGATTATCTTGTTCCTACGCTGACTCTGGTTAGAGGTCTGTTAATAACAAGACATGGTAACTACTGCTCTTTTGTAAGCTCTTTCACAGTGGAAGCTTTAACACCAGGCAGGCCTTTATCCTAGTGACTGCGGGTCAGTCACAATAGGTGTATATCCTGGAGGACCAAACTTCTAAGAGCAGTCTATTTTCCTTTTTTTCCCTCTTAAATTAAACATTCTGTGCAGCAAGTATACTTTTAAATGAGCATGTGGAACCTTTCATGAAAAATAAACTTAATCCTTCTGGATGTGATGTGGGGTTTGTTTGTAGTATTTTGACACCAAAACTTGAAATTTGAGACATGAAAGTAGATATTGAGCCAATGGAGTTTGTGTAGAACAGTCATACAAAGGCTGTTTGCTACCTTTTTCTTTCTGCTGTTCTCACTATTAGCCCTAAACTGAATATATAAAATCTCACTTGTAGTGCAGTCACCCTAAATTTTATCAATCCTTTATATCAGGAAGCAGTATCCTTTAAATAATCTGTAAAGACGTGTATGTGTACATGTTGTCTAAACTAAGGTGTGCACAAGAAAACCTAGGAATTTCACCACGTTTCTGCAAAGTAGCAAATGAGCATAGTCTCCAGCTGTATTCTGAGGGGAGCAACATAGTGTGCTTTAGCCAATGGTGAGCTCCACTCTGCTGATGTGCATGTATAAATGGTGTCTGTAGATACATGCTTGTGTGTCAGGTTATTCAATAACTAGATAGTAATCACCTGAAACCCCAAACCAGCTGATGCAATTCTATATGCTCTATTTGTCTGCCCTATGGACAGATTAAGGAAAATTTTTAGCTAACATGGTATCAATTTGAGTTTGTAAACAATCCTAATAGCCGTGGCTTTATGCTAACCTGCTGTTTAAATGTATTTAGGAAATTAATTGGCTTTTCTCTGAGATGGCTAAGGTAAGCAAAATTGGGTAAAAAATTTCTGTAAACTATGGTAAAACTAAGCTTTCTGGCATGATAAATTTTAATGAGGTATTTCAAATATTTATCATTTTGCATCAAATATGTAATAGTGCATCAAATCTGGATGATTATTGCTGCAAAGCTAATAACATTTTAGAATTGTCTGGTAGATTGTTTTTCCAAGCAGAAGAATCTTACAAAAGAGTACTTGCTTCGTGTGTGGTCTAATTATGCTAGGAAAAGCAGATTCTGCCCATTTAAAGAGTGCATTTAGTCTGAATAATAAGAAACTTAAGAATATCACCTGTAAGTAGTAATTTCTAGTAAGTTGGTTTTTAAATAGCTATCTATGAAATGATAATATACTTCCTAATCTGCAATATTTAACAGCAGTGAATGTTTTAGTAGATCTTAGAGAAAGTAAAAATTCCCAGTGTACACACGGGACAATGTAAGATATGGCTATGTATAGTATACACTTTAGACATAGGTTTTTCTAAAGATTTCTCTTTTGCAGCCTACATGACAGGCAGTATATAGTGTGATTGGCTGTAATGTAAAGCTACCTGAAGTCTTACGGCATAATTGCTATCTCAGTCCATGCTGCTGGAAAAATGTCTGAGACTTACTTCAAATCTCCACTGGTATTTTCCTTCCTAGCCGCAAAAATCTGTGACAAATTTTGCATGATGACTTCCTGTAGACAAAAAAATTTTTTCCCAGTAGCTCCATTTTTGCTGCAGTCCCAACTCTCGTCTGTCTGGGAAGCAGTGTCAGCCTGTTTATGTTAAGGGACATGCCTGATCCACAGCTTCTGTTACCCCCTTCAGCAGCTCTGGAGTTTTAATGCTTTAGGGACTAGGTATGTCACTTCTGATCCTGCAGCCTTGTTCCCCAATCCTTTTAGGTACGCTAGGATGTCCAGTGTAAACTGCATTTAATTGAAGCTTTTTTCAGGTCACATGCAATACATGTGTTAATACGTTACTCATCGGCAAAAATGAATATGCCATTAAGGGACATGAAATGTATTGAGGGCTTAGTCCTACCAGACACTAGCAGGCTCAGTGCTCCAGGACCTCTAACTCGCAAGATTCATCCCTCAGTAATACAAAGTATGAAAGTAGGATTATCTCAAATACTCTGAAAATAGGGATTTCCATATCAATTTCTCCACCAAGCGCTAATCTTCTGCTCAGTAATATTGGGAAACTTCCACTTTTATTACAGTGTGAATCTGAGTATAACAAGGCTCCATTGTGGGTTAACATCTTTTACTCTGTACCAGATAATGGAAAGCTTCAATTCCTGTTGATGTTTCTCCATAGGTATGAAATATAACAGGTCTTAATCAGTGGGGTACAAAGCAGTAGATTCCTAACACAGTTTAAAATAATCTTTCACATGGATTTTTAGTGATTTACGAGATAGCCCACTGAAAGATTTTTATAATATTTTTCCTAGCCAGAGCTAGATCATGTGTTCCAAAAGTCTCTTGGAAAGGCAAATGTCAAGGAGCTCAACATATATTCTAATGCATCTGGATTTCAGAGGTGTAATTTACTTACGTTGCGTGTTGATTAAAATGGTATATGTGGTGTCTCCTTACCGGTCTGTATTGTTTTGATTGTTTGTAAGTTTTCATATTTATATGCACTGTAGTGACATTAACATAAACTTAAATTTTTGAATTATCATACCGAATCATGCCACTGAATTATTAGACATGCTAGAATTTGTTCCTGCAAATTTGGGTGAAGGCAGTAGATGGTAGAAGTCTGTCTTTGCTTCCACAAGCTGCATGTATTGCAGTCTGAATGTGTGTGTCAGTAGCTCGTTAGAACATTGTAGACTTCAGCCTCCTCGCCAATTAGGATCTAATCCAAGAACTCCCTGAAATCAGTGGCAGTCTTTCCACTGACTTCAGAAGCTTTGGATTGTATCCTTCATGGCATCTAATGTTAGTGTGTTAAAGGATCCTGTATTAAAATACTGCATTTTTCACTCCGTGGGGTTTTATATTTTTACCTGTTTGTATACAGAGCTGAAACAGTTTTAGAAAATGCAACCAGACCTTCCAGCTGCTGTCAGCAAATCCCCATATAAGAGGAAGTTTCTCTTGTGTCGCAGTATGACATCAGTACACACATGTTGTCCAAATTGCTAGAGTTCGGGATAGAGCAAAAACTTTGTAGCACTAAAGAAAGGTGAGAACTAGGATAAGCATAGGGTTTGGCTGTGATGTTTCCAGGACTTTGGTGCTTCTCTCCAGCCATCTATTTTAGAATGTGGATGTTAACTCTGCATTTTGATCATGAGAATCTCAAATGACACAGGACCATTTGATAGAATTACAAATAATGTGTACTTACCAAGGACAGTGTAATATTTTTACAGTCAAAAAATGATTTAATACACAAACTATTTTTGAGAGTTAGTTTTGCAAACTAGCCTTTCTGCCCATTCACAGGTGGACACTTTTTTCCTGAGTTGGAGTTTATGCCACTTGTTTGTGCAGCCTGAAAGCCGAAAAGGCTCACTGTCTTGCTTGCACAAAAGCACATTTTTAAAACAGCGACACCTCCAGAAAGGCAATACCGGGGAAAAGGATGACTGTACCACTCTGGTATATCGCCTTTCATGCGCTTGCTTTATCTCTCTGCATACAGTATTTTCTTGTTTCTCTTCCCATGGAAGGAGATGATAAAGGAAGAAAAAAATTCCACTTGCTTTTCTGTCAGCATCTCACATTTTCCATGTTTTGATAGAAATGGCTTAGAAATCATAATTTTCTCAAGCAGAGGTGTGGGGTTTTTTTCTGTGAACTGTTTTTTTTTCTTTATCCCTGTGTCCCTCTGAACTTGGTCTTTTTTAAGCATTCCAGCAGTAAAAAAAAGCTCTTCTCCTGTGAGCTCTTCCCCCCCCTTAAGGTGTAACTGTAAAGAATGTATAACCAGCCCCGTTCGCGTTTACCAAGCCTGTACACTCTGTATCTATACCTGGAATGCCATTCTCTGTAGTCTGTCATTGTAAATGAGAAACGCGTTACTACCGCGGTGGCTGCGCGTGCGGCACGGCCTGTACATACTGTACCCCATTAAACCTTTGTACGCTGCCCGCGGCCTCTCCCTGGGGCGGGCGCGGGGCG